CAAGTGGTACGGACACTCAAAAGCTCAGTCCCCTAACGAAAGGATGACGGTTGATTGATCGGGCGAACATGTGGCCTCCTGAGTGCCACCAATCTATACTTCGTTTCACTTTTAAGTCCAGGCATAACCGGCGCTACGAGCTGATGGAACCAATCGGACGGCGCGGTGATGTTTATGTACGTTTTCTATCATAGCTCAACCAATCGTAAACAAAAAAGGCCTAGTGACTTGCGCTTTTGACGCGGCTTGATTGGTGCCATGAGCTCGTAGCGTCGGCTGCGTCTGGACTTAAAGACCGACGACCAGTTCGCGCTTTCCACTTTTTCTCCCGCTTCCTCCTCTCCCCCTTCTACCCTATCCACCGTTGCCTGTTTCCTCCTCCCTCATGGTGAGGAGGATCTTCTGCCTCGCAAAATCTCGAGTCCAATCCTTTACGCTGAAATTAAGTATGGATATGATCGTGAAGGTCACAGACAGATCTCCAGCTCCACTCGAAATGAGGCGGTAGATATGCAGCAACGATGAGATCGAAATAGTACCGATTTGGAAAGGAGTTGATAGTGGGTCATCTTCGGAAGGCAGTGGTCTCTCAGCGGAAGGAACAACTGAAAACACCATAACGTATCGAGATTGGGTGGTGGGAAAGTGACGGCGTGCTGTTTCTTCGCTAGGCCGTTCGGTTGGCGTGATCGAACGAACCACATTTGGTTTCCCCTCAAGATGGACCGCGAAGGAAGCTACGAGCCAATGCAACGCCGCCCGAGTGTCACGCGACCCTGGCAGGGGCGCTTGGAGCGCGTCATCACGTGATGCGTTCGGAGCGATAGATTGGCTGGGACGCCCCGTAGCGCCCCACCACGGTACACCGTAAAGTGAAACGGAGCATAGTGTGGCCTGGCCAGACCGGCCAGGGGGGAAACCGGAGCCGAGTCGATCGGGTGCGAAGCCAAAACAACAACAACGACGAGTCCGGCCACCACGAGCCAACGAGAGCCGGGGCGAGCCAACTGCAGCACGGAGCCGAGGCCGTTTCCGCCACACGACCGGCCGTTTCCGCTTCCGCTTGACCCGCCCCTCTTCCCCTCCTCCCTTCGTCTCCTCTTCCTTCTTTCTGTGGTCCCGCTAGTCCCGCTTCCTCTTTTGCCCTCTCCACCTCTTTGGTGGCCATCTTTTTTTCTCTGCCAGCGTCACGGAGCCTGTCCGCTCTCTCCCTCAACGAATGACTTCCGGTGCGCGGTGTTTTCCCTCTCGGAATTTGTGCCCCGGATCGAAGAAAACCTGGGACTCGCTCCCTGCGGGGCGTGCCTTCCGAGTTTCTCTCTCCTTCGTTTGCACCGTTCGAAGCTACAAAGCGCCGAAAAACCGGATGATAGCCAGCTCAGCCGTGCGCGCGGTTTCTCGTCGTCGTCCAGTCCCCCGCCGCGTTCGTGCAACCGCCTCTAGTAAAACGATGCCGACCCCGTCGCGGTGCACCGTCGGAGAATGGGGCTCGGATGGATCGCGCGACCTGCAACTCGAATCTCTCCAGCACACACGCTCGCTGTTCTCAGTGGCGTTCGCTGGAACGCGCCTGGAATTGTTTGGAAAAAGGAGGTGGTATAGCAACGCGTGCTCGAGGAATATTGTGTTTGTACATGCACGCACACACTCACGCAAAGGCAGACGGACAGATAAAATTAATCTTAATTTTACGGATAAAGTCGTGAAACGCAGAACGGGCAGCAGGTACCGAGCTACGCTGGGCGTTCATTTATGGGTTTCTTCTAAATTCGAGAGTTACGCCAAAATTCCGCTAAATTCAGGGGGAAGTTACGTCCTGATAAATTTAGCGAAAGCGTTTCCCGGCTAAATTTAGCGGAAAAACTTGGGTGAATTAGTTGCAATTCAATTTTCCCCGCTAAATTTAGTAAGCAAACGCTTTCGCTGAAATTAGCGGGGCACGAGTCCGCCAAATGTAGCGTGTCATGCTTTTGCGCTACAAATTGTTCGTTACTGTTGCGCGTTAGTTTTTCTCTTTTTTGTATATTTTTTTGTAGAAAACGGTTGCCCTATACACATTTCGCGAAAAAAACAACAACAACAACAAAGAACAACGTTATGCCGTTCTTCAAACGGGCCATTTCCTTCATGTAAACGTGAGTGACGAAGGATAATGACAAGAAAACTAGTCTTCTGGGAGGATTCGTTTCGGCTTTTCTGTAGCTTCATTTATTAGCTGACCTTCGTGACAAGGAATTGCGGATATAGAGTTTTCGTAAATCGTTTCTGCGGTCCCGCAGCGGTCTCCGCTACCTGCTACGAGATCCGGAACCGCACAGGCAAGACTAGCGTCGCGCGTGCGCACGAGCAGCGGCGGCGTGCAAGGCGGTCTACCAAAACTCCCCGTTGTCGAAATCGTTCGGAACACGCACATTCGAATAACGACACTTTAAGAAACAACCGTTCCCGAATACCCCCAAAGACAAGCCGAGGTTCGCGTACTTAAAGAAGAAAATAAAAATAGCATTAAGTCATTATTGACGCTTATTTCGAAACGCTGCCGAATGATTTTCAGTGCGCCGCTTCGCAGCGGGTTTGTGAAGCCCTCATCCGGGAATCGAGAAAATTCATGGTGGTAGAAATAAGTGCGTCTTCCTTTTGGCAGACATTTTTTTTTAATCTTCCGTGCAATTATTGGGAAACTCCCACGCACACACGCAGTCTCCATCGTGCTAGCAAACGCACTATAAACAAGAGAGAAAAAAAGAAAACTGCTTTTTAGAAACAGCCAAAAAACATTCAGCGTGTTTTGATGGAGTCGAAAGAAACTCAACCCTGTCGCAGTCTGGGGGATTGAGTGAAACGTGGAAGAGTGAGAGAGAGAGAGTTTTTGAAACGAAGCTCGAAGGAAGAGAGAGAGGGTGAAAGCCGACCGGGGAATTGGAGAAATGACTCTTGAGAGCAGCGGAAATTGAATAATCTCGACTGCTCCCGGCAGGAGAACGTTGGAAGGGAAGTTTCTCCGCGCACTACTACATATCGGAACAAACCTCTTCTATCTTCTTTTTATTTTTTTTTTCTGTGTCAGTTTCTTCTGTTTTCGAGATCCGGATTCAGGCAAATGAAATTTGAGGATTCGTAGCGTTCCAGCTTCTCTCTGCCAACACCCACTCACGTTACTGCGGCCTGCAACTCCCTTACTGCGGCATTATACACCTCGGCATGAACAACTCAACAAGAAACTTGTTTTCTTTAATCTAGGAGTTGCCGTTTTTTTTTTTTAACTTTCGACGCACACCCACGAAACAGCCGAGGAATAGTAATTGTAACGAGAATAAATTATCTCGCAAGGATGGATTTAAACCGGGAAGACCAACCGAAGAAATAAGCGAGGAGCGATGGCGGGGATGGAGAAACGGGCCGGCAAACGAACCTGCCCAATCTATCCTGGCAACTGTTTGCCGACGTTTCAAAATTATTTGGCTTATTTATTTCTTAATCATTTTCTCGGCGAACCTTGTTTGGATTTATATCCCACATGGCGCTCAAGTATGGTAGCGGAACAAAATGATTTATCGATTTCATTCTGCGTGCCCGTTTGATTTCTCCTCTCTCTCTCTTTCTCTTCCCGCGCCTGATTTTGGTGCGTTTCTCGTCTCTGCTTTGTTGTCGTAAATTGATTCCGCATCGCCTCCCTCCCCCTCATCCACTTCCCTCTACTCTCTCTCTCTTTCTACCTGTTCTTAATTTTTTTTTTTTTTTTTGTATTGTTCCCGCGTAAGAAGAGACTGTCATCGGGCATAACATCGCGCAACCACATTTTGTTGTTACTTTCAAAACGCGACGTGTGTGCTAGCCGTGTATCTTCGTTCAATATTTGCTGGCGTTTTTATTTTTATTCGGGAATTTCAGTTTTTCCGACTTTCGAGGTGACACAAATTTACTCTCGGGGAGACGTGCCGGAAATAGCCACTTTAGGATTTTGAAAAGCCGGGCGTCGGAAACTGTTAACGCGAAATGCACGGAATTTTTCTTTCATTATTTATTATAATAAAAAAACAGTTACTTATTCATGTATCATCGCCGGCGCTTCGTCCCCTCAACTTTCTCTCCTCTTTCAAGCCTTATATGTTCTATTGGCAGTTCCTTTTTTTTTTTTCATCTTCATTTGATCAGGTTTGCTCGTATGCCTTTTTTCGCCTGTTTTCGCGGAGAGCAGTTCCACATGGGACGCTGCTCTCTGCATTGAATTTGGTTACACCAGACCGACAATGTGCTCGCCTCCGCAGAATTTCGGTCCGAAAATGGAAATATGGAAATTGTTTTTTTTTTTTTTTTTTTTTTTTTTTTTTTTTTTTGCGAAGAGGCGAGCAGGGTTTGACGTTTTGACGTTGGTTAGATCGGGAGGGAATACTCCCTTTTATGTATTTGTACTGCCCTTTTGTTCAGCATGTCACTCGCTGTTCCACGTTTTAATTCAGCGAGACAACCTGGCACTCGCCTAAAATATTTCTTTTTACGTTCGAGGTGCTTTCCAGATGTGAGAGGGAAAATAGTTATTATTCCGCGGGCCTTGCATGGAATTAACTCTGTTCATACTTTATTTTAATTTGCGTGCATTGCTTAAACGCAGCGGGCCTGGCGTGCTGTTCGCTCTTTTAGGCCAAAAATACTGCGTTTTCGGGTTTGTGGCCGGGCTCGTTAAACGCGTTAAAGTGTACGAGAACGCGTTAGTTTCGCCCCAAACTACATACTGCATGCCAGCCGCACACTGACACGCAAGCACATAACGTCTGAAACATGCTTGCGTGTTGAACACGTGTGCGATTCTTAAGCTGTGCGCATACATAAAGGAGTCCTGTTTTCATTCACTGTAGCTGGTTAACTAATCGATTGAGCTCCTGTTTTGGTTTGTTATTGAGTTTCATGGATGACATTTTTATTAGAGAATTACCAGTTGGTTTCTTCTTTATTTTTTTAAGGTATAATTTTTACTGATTGGCGTCTTTCATCCGTTGCAGTGGGTAGAGGAGAGCTTCACCAACTTCGAGCAAGGCATCAACTGGCGGTCGTACGTGGTGTGCGACGTGGCCTACGAAAACGTGAACAACTGGCTGTGGACGCCGTTCATCGAGCGTGGCCCCGCGCACCGCATCTACATCGAGCTCAAGTTCAGCATGCGCGACTGCAACCTGTTCCCGGGCATGGCGCTCTCGTGCAAGGAGACCTTCTCGCTGCTCTACTACGAGTTCGACGCGGCCACGCGCGAGCCGCCGCCCTGGGAGCCGGAGTCGTACCGGCCCGTGGACCGCATCGCCGCCGACGAGGGCCGCTTCACCTCCAACGCCGAGGTGATCATCAACACCGAGGTGCGCTCTGTGCCGGTCACCAAGAAGGGCGTCTACTTCGCCTTCAGGGACCAGGGCGCCTGCCTCTCGCTCATCGCCGTCAAGGTGAGCGCCCTTCCTTCCTCTCCGGTCCTCCGAGCTTTTGCAGAAGTGTTCGGCGTCTTTCGCGCCGTCGAGACGGATACTGGGAGCGCTATACTCCGTTCCACCTTCAGTCCGAGCGCAGTGGACGCCACGAGCCATCCCAGCCGATCCAGCGCCGGGAGAAAGTCGCGTGACCTGCCGGTGGGGCGGGACGACACAGGGAGCTCAAGGTCGCAGGACACTCCCTTAAAGCCGCATTGGTTGGGTGGCTCCTAGCGTCCGCTGTGCTCGGACGGAAGGTGGTTCTATACTTAGCAGGCAAGAGGTACCCCATGCGGCATTTTAGCCCTTTCGGGGTGCTAATCTGGGCCGGGTCATATGGCGACGGGTTGTACAACGCCGTCAAAAGGTTACATTATGCCAAGTCTCGAGCGCGTGGCTTCATTGAGCGTCTCATCTCCTCGAGAGGGCGTGCAGACCGGCCGGATCAAGGTGCAGGGCAGGGCCAAGCAGCTTTGGCGGCGTTGTATACTCCCCCGCAGACAACTCGAGCTGAGACACCCGATCCTGACTTTTTTTCTGTTTCTGCGAAAAGCTTTGTTTATCTCTCCATTTGTCAAATAGTCCGAAGTTTCGGGCCTCGACTTCGCATTCCATTCTTTATAGTTCGGACCATGAAGCTTTCTCGAAAACGAGCAGGAACGCCAAAGAAATACGGAGGACTGTTTCAGCTCATATTGTCCGAAACGGAGTACAACAAACGACCAAGCCCGCGTAGAAACGCAATCTGCGCTCACAGAACGCGAGCTTTGACGTGTTCATTGTCTCAGTGCGAACCAGGTTCTCCGAGATAACATTATAGAGTTTCAGGAGATCGTATTCGCTGCGCATTGCGAGTCTAACGGGCGTTTGCTGTGCAACCCATGCTTTGAAGTGACGGCACCGAACTCCCGCAAGCACACTAAACGTCCCCCGTTAGCTCGCTTCGCCCGATCGCGCTCGTCCCGTAGTTCGTGACGGCTCCAACGGTGCTGCTTGCTTCGAAAGAAAATGGAGATACGCCAGTCATTTTAAAACCTCTAGTTTTGTTTTCGCCGCACACCGCGGGCAAAAGAAAAGTTATAGTTCCTCTTCGTTCACTTTTATGAATTTTTCGTTCAAACATTTATCCGTGTGTTTTATCCAATCGGATGTCCTCATACGTATATTTCGAGAATCGGTCATCGGCATACCTCCCTGCGAAGTACACTGGCGAATACGTCCACAATCGCCTTTCTTTACCGCGCAAAGAGGCCTTTGCCTTAAAATACTTCTTAACCGCTATGTTTGTGCGATTCGAACGTAATTATGTCAGTCTGAGCGGCATATGTTCGAACGCGAGCAATAAGATCTTAGGGTAGTGTCTCTATCGTATATGATAAGGGGTGTGACATAAATAATCGAGAAAGGTTAAAAAAAAAAAAAAAATTTGTGCGTCTATGGAAAAAAAGAAGTGTGTTGTGACCACACGATAAAGTCACGTCTGTAAATAGAACACCAAGGACATTCGAACAGACAACCCGCCGTTCGAAACATTGCCTTTCTGGGGTTATTTCTTTACCGCCGTGTAAACATACGCACAATACAATTCTCCGTTTTAGCAAAAAAAAAAAAAAAAGAAAACACTTCTATCACGCGGTGTTCGAGCGCCGCACCCACACGCTTTTTTCGCTGGATTTCGTCTATGTTTGAAACGAAATTGTAGTGTATATTCTGAGGACCACCTAGATAAGGTTCTAAAAAGCTTGCTTTTGAAGCTTTAAGCCATTTTGCGGCCACGTGAAATTGGGGTCGTGCGAGAATTGAGATACTTCTTATTAGCGGTAATTGAGTCGGAAAACACAATTAGTGGGATAACTCTGCACACTAGAGGGAGCGATGCCGTTCTAATTGCGGCAGGAATCAGAAATCGAGTTTCCCAGAAAGAATAACAATAAACGAGGAAAAAACTAAAACTGCTTTCTAAAAAAGGCGTCGTTGTTTTTTTTTTTGTTTTTTTTCCTTCTTCTTCTTTTTAGCTAAGCTTTTTTAACTACGTTACGACACTAATTGCGTTACCTTTTCTGTTTCATTTCAAAAAGAAATATCCGTAATCGTTTTAGCCAGTTGAGAACTTTGTGAGCTGCAATCGTGTTATCGTTATAGCTGAAATCGCGTTAAGAGCAGGAAAAAGTATCCACTTTTTTCCGATCTTTATGCTTTCGACTAAATGCCGATGTGGTTGAAGGTTTTCTTTAATGATATTATTACTAATCTGATCAGCGATAACCTTAATGCAACGAACAAAGTTTAAATGTGGAAAAAGCCAATTCGACTACCGAGAAACCTGTCTCGATGAGGCGGCATGAGAATCGAGACAAAAACAGCTTTATTAAATTAGTAATGGATGAAGTAAACAAAGTAGCGGCACTCTGTAGTCCGATATAAGAATGCGCCAAATATACGCTATCGCGTACCAGCCACGGCATGGAATCGCTAAGCGGAAAAACCAGGAACGCCGATGAATCCGACCTGGACTCTCGTAATTAGGCTAGGCTGTAGGTTACGCGAGGTTTGGCTAGGTGAGGTCGGCCTTTTTTTAAAGGTGCCTATCATCGATGACTTCTGTTCCGCTGGCCAATGCAAACCTCTCGAACGACCCCCGCAGGTGTACTACATGGTGTGCCCGAACGTGACCACCTCCCTGGCCCACTTCCCGGAGACGCCGACGGCGAGCGAAGTGACGGCCATCGTGGCCACCGAGGGCCAGTGCGTGGCCAACGCCCGGGTCTCCCAGGCGCCGCCGCGGATGCTGTGCAAGGGCGACGGCAACTGGACCCTGCCGTCGGGGGGATGCGCCTGCCTGCCGGGCTTCAGGGCCGTCGGGAGCTCCTGCCAGAGTGAGCGCACACCCCTCCATCTTTTATCTCTCCGGAAAGCGTCCGACTTCAAAGACTCCTCGGTACCCGTTTTCAGTCATGTCTCCTTGATATGGGCACTTTCGATCACTCTAAAAATCGTCCGTAACGTGACTCATCCAGAATTACGAGACAAAACTGCGTGGACTCTTCTATCCAGTTTGTCCCCGAAATTGCTCTCTTTGCTGTAGAATATTCACACTAATGGAGTTCATATTAATGAGACATTACTATTTTAAAGCATCGGATACTTATTGTAATAATCACCGTAAAAGGCGCATGTATAAAAAAAAAAGCTTTTAAAAAGCGGGTTGAAACTAGCAGCTGCCGCAGAGTTGGCCAGCTGCCAAGTTGATTTTTTCTCTCGGTTCAGCCGCGGCCTGGTGTCTTATGACGAGGCCGCGCTTCCGCGTTTCAACAAGCCTTTTGCTTCAGCTGCGTCGCCCTCAGCGCAGGGAATACTTGCGTCTTAGCTCGGCATGCTTGTAACATCCTTGAGGGCTGTGACACCTTCTTTCATGACGGAATTTCATGTTTTCGGTCGTAACCCTATGTCCGAGAAATGGTTGGGAATTTTTTCTCAGTCAAGGAGGGGAGAACCAGTTCTACGCGCGATTTGATTAATCGTTTTCCGCCGTTAGATAATGAGGCAGTTTTGGCGCTTTAACCGCTGTTAAGCCGAATGCTCTATCGGCAGTCTGCATCGTATTGTTTGCGCAGCTCAAAGGCTACCATCAAGAACCGTTATTCTGGTGAAACCTGGCGCGTTTACTGACTCAGACTGTGGTATTCCGAACGCGGTAACATGTGTACACACCATCTGCGACAACTTGCGCAAGCACGACATCGGCACTTTTTTTTTCCTTTTGGTATTTTAGTTGCGAGCAGTTACGTACATGAAGTATTTGTTGTCCGGGTTGGTGCGCTGTATAACACATTCCACCTGACTAGATTTCGTGGCATCCTCTCAGTTATGGAAAACGCAAGAAAACCGACGTACAGTTAGTTATAAAGAAACGATAATAAAATCCGTATTTTGTGCGTTGGACGCTTTTAGAGAAGGCGAGTTAAATCTGCGTACACTTTAGTGTGGGTCCCCCACACTAAAGTGTACGCAGATTTTCCGTACACATAAAATAATCACCGCCCACATAAGCAAACGTGTTCGTGCGAGCAGACGCGGTAGTTTTGAAAGACGTTCATTTCGTTTGTTTTATTTCTTAATGGATCCAGTTTTGTGTGAAGTGCCGCGCATAACAAATAAGAGCTACACTTGGCTAAGAAGTTATGAAGTTTGCTAAGCCGAAATAAAGTCGGTATAGCTAGCAGCCTGTGTTACCCAAACACGGGCCGAACATTGATGCACGTTGGTGTTCGAGACCACAATACGCAATGCAAGAAAAGCGAGAAACTAGATGTTTCAACGGTTTTTCTTTTTTAACTTTCGTTGGCAGTATTACGTCCATTATAGTTTTTTTTTTTCTTCTTGTTTTGAACGCACTGACACTGCGAATTTGTGGAGAGGCTCCTCGACCGATGTAGCCTAAATTATAATCTCATTTAAAGTGCACTATAAATTGGAAAAACAAAACAAAAACGCTAGTTAACAGCCCGAGTTAAAGGCGCCTCTCCTATGCAAGAGCGCGCAACCGCTCCCCGTTAAGCGCGGTCTTCTACCGCTTACCCGCTCTCTTATGCATATAATTAAGCCTACGTAGGTGAGGTACCAATACCTAAGCAGCCGAGATATTTTGTAGGGTTAGACAAACGATACGTCAAGTTTCTCTAATCGGCCAGCCCCATGCATGAACCCATACCTCTCTCGGTCTCAGCCCAGGCGCTTGAGTGTGCTTCCCCGCATAAACACTCTAGATGCGGCGAAGCAAGCTTCTCAGGAGCACCAACGTCCCTTTGGTCGCGCGCTCTCCAAGGCAGAGAAAATGAAAAGTGGCGCGCACGTTCCAACTCACTAGCGGAAACACTAACGAATTCTGGGCACACTAACCCGAGTATTCATATAGGTAATAACGATAAAAAAAGCGACCACCGACATAGCCGATATCTTCTTTCCGGAGGGGACAGGGCTCGCACGGAGGCAGGCAGGGGAACGTTCGGCGCGTGCGGGCTGTTCGACACTAATTATTTTGCAGATTTTTATTTTTCATTCACTCTTTCGTAGACGCATTTCAAACCCAACGTAGATTTATATAAAAAAAGACATTTTGTGTTTGTTGTACGATATGGCGGTTGCCCTACGGCGGGCAGTTCCCGTAACTGCCAGCTCCGGTGCATATTTAATGACGCCAGTCAGTTCTACGCCCAGTACTCGCCCGTCTCTCTCTCTCTCTCTCTCTCTTTTTTTTTCCTTTAATCTTTTTAACGACCGCGCTTTTCTGGTGGTTTCCGCGCACGCGACTTGAAGGTGCAGTTATGGTGTTTGAAATACGACGTCGTTTTGCGGAACGGCGTCGCGCGCACGCACGGACAAAGCATTCGTGAAAAAGCGCGGTTAAAAGAAAGAAAAAGAAATGTTGACGTTACCGTTGGCGAGCAAGCGCGCGCTCCAGCGAGCGGTGGGGCGATACGTCGGAAGTGACGTAATTTTCGATAGGCGCGCGACTAGCCGATTCTAGCTCGCCCATTTGAATCGTATCCTAACGGACTCGCGCCGCAAGCACGCAGAGACAAAATAGGCATAAGACACCAAGCTACAAATGTCGCTTGTTCCGTGCGAACTCATAATAGCTTCTTTTCTACTTTGTTTCTTCGTGTTAGGCGCACGTAGCCATTCTGAAGCGTGTTCGCTGCTCGTAGTGAAGATAACGTATGTTGGGTCGCGCTGCCTTCCCTTGGCACAGCTTCTATTGCTTTTTATTTCTTTTTTTTTTTTATACAGATGTTTTTCGTTTTTTTTTTTTACGTTTGTAGCAGACGAGGGAAATAGTTGAAAAACGCTCTCGCACATCGTGACAGGCTGTTGCAGGCAACGCTGTGTCCTTTTTTTATCGTAGGATATCCGAGGTTCGGCGGACGACCGTGCATTATGCTTACGCGTCGCCGTCCGTTGTCGTTTAGATGAAAATTGCTCAAATAGCGCCGAAACAAAAAACAAAAACAAAAAAAAACCGCCTGAAGAACATTTGTGATAAGAATAACGGAGGTTGTTCGTAAGCCTCCTTTCGAGTTTGTGCCTACCCGACTTTCCTGAACGCACAAACGTTGCCATCATTCTGGCCACAAAACGAGAAAAAAAAAACGAAGAAAAAAAGGAACAAATCAGCAGCTTTTGTATACCTTGCTGCGTCCACAATTGCGAGACAACTCTTGATGTGTCAGACTGAGAATTGGAAATGAGCTGTCTTCTTTCCTATTTTTGATCGTCATTATGCGCCAAATGTAATGTTCTCCGCGCGATATCTCTGACTCGCTGGTCTCTTTTATTACGGCGTCGTTTGAGTTGCGCACTTGCCCTGTTCTGGATGGCCTCTTCCTTTTTCTTTCTCGTTTAATACGCCATACTTGCGCGCACACATTGACATAATTCATCTCTCCGCAACACGAGAGCTCCGAATGCTCCTGCCAAGCCCTTGATGGAGTAGGTCGCAAGATGTCTGCTGTTTCCCAACTCAAATTTACTTCCTCTAAGAAATAATAACAAATATGAAAAAAAAAAAAAAACGAAGGAAGTTTTTTTTTGTTTTTTCTTTGCGTATAAAGCTTGCTGGAGCGACGGCAGTGCGAGTTCGTCAGTCGTTTCCCGCGATCGCCGTGGTCTGTGATGGAACGCCCCGAGTGCCGTAAATTTTTCATGGAAATTACGGCCACTGCGCGTCTGAGTCGGGGATCTGTCGTGATCGGGGGAAATATAGCCGCTTCGTTCTCTCTGCTCTTGCTTTCTCGTAACTCCTCGCTTCCCGGCTTCTTCGCCGCCCGGACTACCGCCGGTAAACAGAGGCAGTCGATAACGCGGAGCGATAGCCACGGCGCCCTACTCTTGGCGTTCTTCCGCAAGATTCTTCCTTTTTTGTGGTTTCTTGTTTCGGTACCAAGCTTCCTTTCGGTGTTGCCTTTGTAGCTAACCCAAACACACCTCCCGTGCTCTTGTTGCTCTCGTTTTATTTTATTTTTATTTCGTTTCTCTGGCATTTGTCGTATGTTTCTTCTCGGCGAGCGAAGCTTACGAAAAGGAGACGATGGCGGAAAGAGGAACGTTTTCTGCCATAAGGACCAGTCATTTTTGTTATTGTTATTATGTATCCCTCTCGCGTTTTGAGCTCTTTCTATCGCCACTCTCCGTCTCTCTCTCTCTATCTCCCTCTCCCTCCCGCCCCCCCCCCCCCCCCCCTTCCCGGTCAGATCCGCCTTCCCCTTCTTCACTTTTTCCCGGGAGAATTTTACCGCTTTTCCCTGAGTGGCTTCCCTGTCCAGCCTTCCTACATCTTTTTTTTTTTTTTTTTTTCATTTTCTGTCTCTTTATTTCTCTTTCAACGCTGTTTTCTGCTCCTCATTTTTCCCTCGCACCGCGCGGAGGTCATTACTGGCACCGCGCTGTTTCGGCGAGATATCTCTGACAGGAGCGTTATTTACATTTGGTTGTTGTTGCTGTTACGTTATCCTTTTTTCCTTTTCTGCCTTAGATGTTCTTTGCTCTTGTCGCTTTCTTTTCGCGTTTAAGGAACATGTTTTCTTCCTCCTTCTGTCTTCTTTACTCTTTCAGGCTTTACCCGCTTCCTTCCCTTTTTTGTTTCTTCTGTATTTAGCAAGTTTTGGTTTGTTATTCATTTTTACGTGGCACTGCTCTCTCAGCGGGTTTGTGTCTGCGATGTTTTTTCACTTGTTTTTTCACTTGTTTTTTGCCAAGTCCGCAAAGGATTGGCACACGTGCGCACTTACGTATAGGTTTGTGTGTGAGCTACCGAGAAACATAATCAGCAACAACAACATCCAAAACAACCCCCTCCCCCCCCCTCCCCCCCCCCCCCCAAAAAAAAAAAAATATATATATATATATATATATAAACGACATTAAGCGCAACTTCCTGGCTGTAGCTTCCCCCATTCCGCAACCCGACCTCTGAACCTGTTATTTCTTTTCGCTATTTCTTCTCTATCTTCCTCTTTCCTTTTTTTTTTCCCTTCTGTGTACGTGTGTTCCTTCGAGTTCGTCTCGCGTACCCGAGTTTTCTGGACCGGGCTTGGGCTCTTTTGTTTGCGTTTCCCATCTTACCTACGCGCCATCGGAATTGCTAATTTGCCGCGGCAGGGTCTCATTCGTGCCCTTCGGGACCAGTTGGGAAAGACAAGCGGGGAGGCGGGGAGGCGGGCCTGTGTGCCGAGTCCCCTTTCAAGCTGAGAGTAGAGAGGAACTTCCCTTTCCGCGTGCGGTGCTCAAGTCGAGACGAGCGAATGCAAAGTTTTCTTTGAGTCCTTCTCCGTGGACTGTGAAGCAGAAAGTTTGTCTTTGGAAATTCAGCTTGCTCTCCTGCCTATTCCTGCAGGGGTTGTGGAAGAAGGGAAAGGTGATGGAGGCTGTTTCTTAGAATACTTGATTTTTTTTCTTTTTAATTTTAAAGACACCTTAGGTGAGTTAGTGAGCGACTACGTTCATTTCTAGAAACAGAAAGATTTATACCGATCCTTTGTAATTCATTGCTTAGAGGGGTCGGGAACTTCGGTGTTTTCGAAGGTTGTCTGCAGTATCAATGAAAGGAAAGTTTGTCGTTGACCATTTTCATCGTTTTTTCTTTGTATTATTGGTAATTTAAAAAAAAATATTTAGGACAAGCTGAAATAAAAATGAAGTTACATGTTTAGTTATTGGAAATAGTGCCTAAATGGCATTAAGTTACCTATGCCTATTTGAAATGGCTCGTTGTTTAGTGGTAGTCTGGTGCAAGCCTAGTGTAGGCAAGTATATATATATATTCATGAAGACAAGCTAATGCTATTGCTTGCCTTTCTATTTGCTTCATGAATGCTGCTGCATAGGTGCATCTAAGACCACAGCAAACCAAACATGTATATTGCTCGGGCAAGTTCGCAAATATATATTGTGTATCGACCAGGCTATGTAACATTACGCATTACATTCATTTTCTGCAGTGCACATTTAGTAAATATTACTTAATATTTAAGTGGAAAAAGTATTTAATCTTGACAATTTTTCAGTATTAAGGATATGAAACTCTTATCAACTTGAAACTGTATGAACTTAGTAGGGGACTGAATCTAACTTTTTTTAATTAATACCCTCGTCTGCCAGGTTGATTTTGGGAGTGACCGCATTGATATTAAACAAAAAGGACAGTTCAATCATGATGTGACTACACTAGAAGGCCTTTTTGTGACTTCAGCAAAATTGGTGTAGGTGAGCTCGTTGGTCATTACTTCTCTGCCGATAATCTCTCTAAAAAAGAAATATGTAACACTTTGACAACGGCTTCTAGCCAGAGAGTAATCAGTGTAACAGGTAAGCTTCATTTTGGTGTTGTCACACAGGAGTCTGATTGAACCAACCCGATATGAGTTTATGAGGTAATAGTTCCTTCTTTACGAGTGGCACTTGTACTCCATTGTGGTTTCAAGGGCAACCCTGACACTATTAGGACGCTACTATGAGAGAAACAGCCAGGAAAAATATATGGAATTCATTATCGGTAAAAGCATTTCTACTGCCAGAATATTGCATGAATGCGATCGCCGCAACCAAGCATTGACATTGGTGTACATTCTTTGCTTTACCACTACACTTTTGACATACTATGCTGCAGCTAAGGCTTCTTAATGGGATGGTGAGCTGAGTACTCGAGCTAAAGACTGCCTAACAGCTACATCTATGCAACCTAACCTGCTCTGGCTTTCGCTACAATGTCTGCTTCTTTTTCTCTCTCTGCTGCTTCAGTGTGTCCCCCCAGCACATTCAAGCCAAGCTCGGGAGATGGGCCGTGCCTGCGTTGCCCTTCATACAGCATCGCGCCTCAGGCGGGCTCCACAGAGTGCCGCTGCAAAGATCGCTACTTTAGGTCTCCCACTGACCCCAAGACTATGCCTTGCACTCGTGAGTCTCTCCGCTGGCTGTACCGCCGGGCGCTGCCGCCGTCGTTTGCAGTCCTTTGCCTAGCTCCTTCATACTCTGCAGAGCACAAGAAATGGTGCATCCTTAAAGCCCTGCTGTGGCGGTAGTGCCTCTGAGGGCAGGCTTGCTCGGAGGAATTCAAACCTTTGTTATGACACTCGATTGTAGTGAGGTTATCTTGGCGATATCTGGTTTTGTTCGGTTTATTGTACTTTTTTTTTATTGGAATACATAGAATATCTCGCTTTGTTTCTCTAAGCAGACACTCACCAATAGCGCTACTGCCGCTGAGAGGCCGAAGTGTCACTGCCAGTGGCCCATGGTCAGCTTCTTTTTTACTACGAAATACAGTGCAATCCACTTATAATAATAACGAGGAAACCTGAGATTTCAATCGTTACAATCGATTATCATGGTATCTGGACTAGAAACTGATCATTTCCAGCCTAGAAACTTTAGGAACTGATCGTTATAAGTGGTACATCATTATATGCTTTTTTGTTGTAAGTGGGTCGCACTGCATTGAAGGTAGCTTGCCCCCACTGCTTTTGCTTGAGTAATGAACCTTTTCCCAAATTATCTAAGCACAGAGGAGATTGTTTGCCTTGCCTATCGTAGAATACCGCGCATCCGCCCATTCCACATTGAGCGCCCACACCCAAATTTGTAAGATCTGAGGAAATACGTGCAGCACGTTTATATGTAAAATTGATGACCAGACAAACGCCCATCCCCTATTTTTTTGTGATCATCTTTAAATTTTGAGTAAGCGCTTGCCCGGTATTTTACGGTATATAAAAGATTCAAAATAAATAATCAAACTGAAATGTTGGCAAACACACATGTGAAATGTCATTTGTGTTAGGTTTTTGCTTCAAAACAGTTACTGCTGCAGGTTCCAGCTTGCGCAGCATGTGTAATTGCACTCACAGCATGCTCTTTAGTGCTTGGGCAATCTGCAAAAGACTTCTCAGGACTTGAGACCGTGAAGCACAAGGTTGACAAAGTCTCCCCCTTTTCTCTTCAGAACCTCCTCGGGCACCTCAGAACCTGAGTGCAAGCTGCGTGGACCAGTCTTCGGTGACGCTGAGCTGGCAGGCACCTTCTCACCAGGGCGGCCGAGAAGACACCACGTACCGCGTCGTCTGTGACATGTGCAGTCCCAGCGTCACATTCTCACCTGCCCGGCAAGGCTTCAATGAGACCAGTGTCACGGTCACTGGTCTACGGCCCGTGACCGCTTACCGGTTCCAAGTGTATGCTGAGAATGGTGTATCGGGCTTTGACAAGGGCCATTACGCCGAGATCACCGTCAAGACCGATGCCCTTGGTAAGTTTCCTCTCCTGGCCACCTTCAGAGGGGATTACTGTAGAGATTGGGTAAAGCAAAAATTTGTGTTATAATTTATAAACAATCTTGTAGGAAATGAAGTATGTTTGCTGCAACAGTTCCCAATGTCAGTATCAATATAGTACAGTATTTTGGAACCACATACTTTACTATCACAAAATACCGTAAAATATAGACACAAGAGACATGCATATCTTTACATATTGTTGACCGAAGAAGCGCCCAACCGTAGTTTTACATGGTTATCTCCAAATTTTGAGTGGGCGCTTGCTTGGGATTTTACGGTGTTCGCGGGCAAGATAACCTGAGTTCACTTTTCGTGTCGCTGAGAATATGCCTATTTTTTCTTTGGTGATGATTCAATATGAATACTCTTTGTGTTTGTAGCTACAGATGTGAATGAAACAATATCTAATAAGTTTACTTCAAGAAACTTCAGGTGGTATTGGAGATGGAGGCCAGAAGAGGGCTTTTCCAATCTCCTTGGCTTTTGGACAAAGATCGCCATCCTGCAGGCACTTCTTTTTGGCTTTGTGGGAGTTCTGAAGCTCCTTATGATTCCTCTCATTGTCAGCTTTTTGTTTTCAATCATTTTCTAAAGTTTTCCCCTATTGCTTCCTGTTGCCTGGACGCAAACGTTTTAGTCATATTGTCACAAATGACAAGGTGAATCAAAGAATAACTGGGGAAACTGAAATGTTTAATGGGGGTGAACTTGTGCCCAAAAATAAAAAAGGAAACAAGATAACAGCAGAGCATCGACGGCGTTCAAGTCGGCATAGGAGCAGAGTCGAACGCTGGGGTGAAAACTGCCCCGATTTGCCACACGGAGCCCCTTTTGTACATGTGTGGGCTTCTGGAACAATCGGCGTAGAAGTTTTGGCGTGTAGAACATTCTAACCTCGAATTAGCAACACGGTACTCGAATTTACCAGAACATCAGATTAGAGTCAACAAAAATGTGTACGCACGGCCAGGCATCGAACCCTGGCTTTCTGCATGGAAGGATAGCTCGATAACCGTTAGGCCACGGCCGCGCTGCTTACTTGGCCAGCTGCGCGCGCGGCAATATTTAGTCTGGTCACGTCATTACAGTTGTTACTTGATTCTTGTGGCAGTATTTTATATCAATATATAGTACACCATTGCAGAAACATTTGAGATAATTTTGTTTTTCAGTTAATCATGAAACAAATTTCAGACGAATATCAATTGGTGCCTTTCAACAGATCTGGTCCCACTAAGACCTTCTCAAGAAGAAGAATTTTTAAATTCGGTAGCAGATATGGGTATACAATTATATAGCCATTTCACATGAGGTTGCCGAATTATCTCGAACTTTTGCCTAGTACTTAATGTGTAAATTATGCTGTTTCATTGTCATTCACATACACACTCTTCTAATCGTTCCTATATATACAAAAACGTTTTGGAGCGTTTACATCAAAATAAAGAACAAATATAAAAATCCTCCAATTTCATTTTTGGAAGCAGGTGATCTATGCTCCTCTAATACTTAGTAGGTTCTTTGTTACCGGGATTAAGCTATACTCTAGTCGGTGACCGGACAAGTTCAGGGGCAGCTCTTCCCACGTCTTTACGCTTTAGCAGAGCAAACGCCTGAGGGGAGGTGACCTCCTCTCCAGTGTTCACTCTGCTGAAGTTGAAAGAGGTGGGAAGAGCTGCCCCCACACTCTTAACCTGTCGCGAACTATAGAGCTAACCTAAACTGTGGAGCATCTGGTTCTTAATTCTGAAATGATTCGAGTAAGTGATTCTCCTTCCTAATTTTGTTTCTCAATGCTGCCTTTTGGGCATTGGCTCGATTAGCGTTCAATTGCAGGCGATCCAGTTTTCGCTGCGACGCTTCCGAAATGTTCCTTCTCTCGTTGAATGTTGTTGGCGCCCCTTGCGCAGTGCAATCGGTCATCTCCAACGTGCGTGCGAAGGCCATCAAGAGTACGGAGGTGCTGCTGGCCTGGGACGCCCCCCAGGACCCGTTCCCAGAGGTGGAGCGCTACGAGGTGCGCTTCTTTCCCCGCAAGTGGGCCAAGAACGAGACGGTGCTGCAGTCGCACAAGCTCCAGCTGGCCGTCACGGGGCTGCGTTCACGCAGCGAGTACGGCTTTCAGGTGCGCGTCAAGACCACCCGGGGCTTCGGCGAGTACAGCGACACTGTCTACCTCACCACCGGCCAGTACACCCACAGTCCCGGTCAGTTGGCGTCATTTGCAGCTTTTATCCTTAATAGTACTTTATATTTGATCAGTTCATTGTATCAACTTCGTTATGTTTTTAATATTCTGAAGCTTGTGCCCTTATAAACCATTGACAGGGTAGCAATATAATCTGGTAAATAAAATAAACTTCCGGTTTATTCATTATCCTCATATGGGGAATCTAGTTTGATTCTTGTCATTGAGTCATGTGCATCAGAATGCACTGCTGTAGTTTTTTGCTTTAGACTTTGTAACCTTCTTGAAGTGGTCAATCAATCTGAGAAAGCTTGTTTAACCATGTCAAATTTTGTTTTTAATTAATTTGTTGGATTATGCGAGGGGCCTGAGTTCAGCAACTTATAAACTATGAGTACAGCAACTTATAGGCCTATTTTTTCTACTGGATTGCCAGTGTATACGAGTACCGTTTGCTATGTTCTTATTTATTTTCGACCGCTGAGTTTGCTTCTTTTTTGTCTAATGTATCCCATCTGACAAAACGTGAATCCTTCATCCTTGTCAGACGCAGAGAGTTCTGGAACGTGCCTCATTTTCGTACAAATTATGCACTCCAATCTATTGCGCATAACCTGCCTTCATTACTTAACAAGTTCCTTATAGACCACAATGATATTCACTGTTTAACAAAAAAAGATGTACGTGTTTGTTTTGTTTAGTCAAAGTGTATTCTGTAGTACTTGTTTTTTTTACAATGCCCTGTAAGTGCAGGGGCACCAGGCCCAGTCAAGCTACCTCATGGAAGCTTTTTGTCTGGTGCCCTCAGCACAATATTGCTGAAAATAAATATTACTTACTTACTTACTTACTATGCCAATAACTCAAAATATACTGACAGTTATGAAGAGCAACTTGATATGATGAGCATGGCTGCCAAACTAATTTGAGCTGGCAGATGGGACCTTCATTTCTTCAAACGATTAATGGACTTCTTCCAAAACCGACGCGCCCCATCGCGGCGAAATACCACGCAGTGCACTCTGGGAACTAGTTGGCCACTCAGTTTCGGTTTCGACTGAGCAGCTTCATCTCATGCTATCACGCCGCGACAGAACGCGCTGCTTGCGTTTTCGATTATCTGACTTTTCACGAACGTACAATACACTCATACTCGAGCGATACAAAGCGAAGACTGGGGCACTTTCCTTGGTTCCCGAAACACCGGATATTGTGCGTGCGTATGCGAACGTAGTAAGTCGTGGCTTAGTCACCTCACCCCACGAGTGCATCTTTGAGCTCAATGTCAGTAATCCCGTCTAGTACCAGTGAACTACAACTGAAATTTGTTCGTCTGGAGCCTTACACGCATTTTGTTTGCCAAACGTCCGCTCCTTGTTACTTCATTGGGCGAAAAGCAAGCCGCATCCTCACAGGGTATCAAAGTTGAGGCCAGCGTTTACGCATGAACTTTCAAGGAAACGCAATAAATTCGACCTCACTACTGCACAAAAGTTACTATGATGTCTTCCTCGTGTCATCATATATCTCCCACTCAAATTTTATGCTGATAGAAGATTAACTTTTCGCAAACGCTGAGATCGGCTAGCTACGACGGAGGCCCTAACAAGCGTCCCCTACTCCTCGCTAAGCCTTTTTGGACGAGCTTTTACTGACGCCCGAGATCTGTGCCGGGAACGGTGTGTCTGAAATTATCTCAGCATACTCAAGCAGGAAGAAAGCAAACACATAACAAATATTATGGCCATTAGCAACCGTCAAATGCGCTTTGAATTCGTTCGAGCACTTGTCTGAAGAATGTCGCACCGTGCGCCGGACGGGCATCAACCCCAATGCGATGCGCATAGGGGTTCATGCCCGTCTAACGCACTTCCGGTGAACGGTGCGACATTCTTCACACAAGTGCTCGACTTTTGCATTCTTAAAACGGTCTGTATGCGCGAATGTGCCTATATGATTGCAGGATAACTTTATGCGCTTATGCGATGTTGAATATTAGTGAAATGCAAGCGGGTGGGGACTTCACTTTGTGCAGTGCTGTGGGTCAGTACAGATAAGAGATAAGAAGTGTGTTAAAATTGAGCTTTTCAATGGCACCTCCGAGTTTTACCTCACATACTCAGGCACATTAAGAAAAACAGTAATTGCAAAAAGAAATATTTCGTCTATGGACGCACGAAGCAAACAAACTTCCTGATCAACAACACTAATGTAAAGGCGCGAGCTCGATGTATGCATACTTATTGTTTGCTACAGCTTGTTGATTCGTACACAAGCAAGATCCCCGAGCACCCGAGCTTCGCAGCGTCGAGACTCCCAGCACTGGCTCGTCCACATATACCTCGATTGGAGCGCTAACAGGAAGGCTCAAGTACAAAAATACAAGAAGCATGTGTTAAGACAAGCTATACGTCTCGGGCTTGTGCTAAAGCTTCGAGGTCTGGCCATTTAGGTTAGTTTAGAGACCACAAATGAAGCTCTCGGGACCAGAAAACAATCTCTTGTCGACGTGTCGATCGAAACCGAAACCATGCCACCCTCCTCCCTGGCCAACTAGTTCCCAGAGTGCAACGCGCGCCGTGTTGCATGCAGGGCTTTATGGAAGTAGTCTATTGACAAGAAGCCAACATTCATGCTGGCTAATGTAGACTGCTATATTTGTGCACAGCTGAAATTAGTAAGTTGGAATATATTAGATGTTATTAATTAACATATCTCACTTCTATTTTTTTCAATTACCATATCTGCACAGCAAACTTTTGATTGAAGATAGCAACTGGACAGGAGTTTGTATGCCACCATTCATTGATCATTGTACGACAAACTTCCTTACGTTTCCTCAGAAGTGCCCGAACTGAATTCAAGCAGGAATAAGCCTCATAAAATGTGAGAGAAGCCCCAAAAGGGAAGACAAGTTCCAATGTCTGAACAATGTTTTATTATGCTTAGACCACAGAAGCCTTGGACATACAGTGTACTCAACTGTTAAATATAATGTGCGAGCGGTGTCCAAAATGCATACCAGCACCGCCTAACGATGAAAGCAGTGATGTTTGCAGAAAATAATGTACCTCTTTCCAAAGCTATTGCTACTCCTCAATACAAGTTACATAAACTCTTCTATGTTTTTTTGTTTTTCTCTTCGATTTTTTTTTCTTTTTTTTCTGTCATTTAGTTAGCATTTGATTACAACTGCATTCTTGTTGTCATCCTTAATATGACAGTGCAAACTACAGTCAAAGGTTTTTTTACGTTTGGCATGTTGAAAGTGTGCTATCAATGTAGAACATCTCAAAAATCACACTTAGTACAAACACAAAAAAATGTCCAAAAGAATTTACACATACTATTTGAAAAAAAAAAAAAAAAAAGAAACGGAGACGACGGACAAAGAAGCGGACAGACTCAAAACGTCTCAAACACAAAACGTTTGAGGCATCTTGTGTTCGTCCTTTTCTTCGTCCGTCGTGTCTGGTTTTTTCAAATATCTGTAATATGAACCAACTTGCCTGTTTACTTACTCTTTCTTCAATCATCCAAAACATTATTTTTTTATGCTATCTCGCTGTACTCGCTAGATGACACAGGCCGCTTCTCTGGCCGACGTTTGCGGGATATATTTAACAGTTAAGTACAGCTAGTCTACCAGGAACCGCACAAAGGTTTCTTTTGGTTCATGATGTTCCTCATGACATGTTTTCGGTTTTGTATCCTCCAGCTCTGGTGGGAGATGAAGACAAGGTTCAAGTCCGCATCATTGCTGGCGCCACTGTCGCTGTCGTCATTCTAGTCATCATCGTCATTGTGATGATCATCCTCTACATCAAACGGTAAGTTGTTATAGACTATCTGAATAGGCAAGCCAAGAAGGGGGGTTGAAATTTATCTTCAGTTCTATCACTAGTTCCATCGTATAAACGCGTGTAAGGGCCGTACATCTTTTTTTACTTCAAATTTCATTAATTTTTTTAGGCGCAGCCCTTACACGGATAAGAACAAAATTGTTTTCAGTGTGCACCGAAAAATGGATGTAGCTGCAATCGCATGCAATAGGCTCGAGCACCTTTATTTCGGTCTCGATCATTCTAACCTGCGCCATCCTCGGCCCTCGGGTCTGACCGTCGTCACCAGTGGCCAAAGTTGCTCTTTTGAGCCATCCAGTAAGCACCACTCCGGGGTTCACATTACTTACTTATTCCATAGAATTTCACCTCGACGTCCGTTTCGATGTTAACGTCGAGCGGCTGCGGCATACCAGTGAGCCCGCCCCGGACAGAATGCTTTGTCCAGCACCGTACGCCAGATCTTGTCGACACCCTATTCGCTACCTGTTACACGTCTGCCGCACTCCAGGGCATAAGCGATAGTTCAAAGCTACTTGGCCACTGCTCTCAAGTTGTGGGGCCCACATAAAGCAACCTAGCAGGACGAAACATTCACGAAGCCTAATGACGACGTTCGGGAACTTGAGTCCCCAATTTCACAGCAGCTGTTGTCACATGGGCAGAAGGCGACCATGGATGATACGAAAACTATTAAAAGGACAGCGCCTGAAGCTTTACTCCCGTAATCTTTCTTATCTGCTCTTCAAAACATGGCAGAAAGAGGGAGCAGAGGCAGGTAAGAATGGCGGAAGTGCGGAGTGTGCGCCACACTGCAGAAGCAGTCGGCGCGCCTGGAAAAAAGGGGGCAGGCAACTTGAACACAAAAATATAACATTTTAAAAATATTTTTGTTTGGTTATGGGTTGCGCTTGTGTAAAGGCCACACCGGCCTTTACACAAGTGCAGCCCATACTCGCAATTATCCAGTAAACTTGGAAAATAAATAATAACGCAACTAGAACTTACATCTGTTGAACGTTTGTGTGATTGTAATGTCAAAAGGTTTTGTCAGTTTTTTTTTCTTTCTCATAACTGCTCAATGCTCTTATATATGATGCTTATATCTTATGATATCTTCCAAGTTTTCAGCCAGTACTGGTTATGAATTGGTAATAAATGAGACTAATATGTTGATGTTCCAGTTATCAGTGAACATGCTTCAGGTACATTGTGTATTTACAATTGTAATCATCTTCAACATGTTTTCTTTCTTTCTTTTTTTTTCTGCAGGAGTTCAGACGACTGCAACAAGAAGCAACCCAGTGATTGTGATACCCTCGAATACCGTAACGGGGAAGGTAAGAAATGTAAGGATGCCCTTTTTCTATACAACTTTCTGCACTTACTGTTTCTGCATGGACGCTTACTAGTTCACTTATCCGGTCTGATGTTGAGATTTTCTGTACTACGTGACTCTCAGATGCACAACTTCACCTTTTTAACATTGCAAGTTTACTCTTATGCAAGTGTTTATATCTATTCACATATAATCAGAAATAGGCAGATGAATGAACTGTACTGATCAAATGAAATAACTGTTATGAAGCCGCCGAAGAAGAAAATCTTTGGCGGCTTCGTAACAATTATTCCATTGGATCAGTGGGGTTCATTTATCTGCATGTTCTTTATCTTTAGAGATCATGTAAGATGATACAAATGACTCGTGGTATATGTGTTCCGATGTATATGTGTGTAAGAGGCTTTTGCCTTTAGCTTAATTTAAACTTCCAGTTAACATGAAGTTTAACAAGCCCTGAACATTCGGAGTCATGGACATTAATATGTTGTCAGTGTCTGTGACTCATTTGGGTCATTGATATTGAACTTAGGTAGACTTTATTGACATTTCGACAAAATTTTTGACATACAATTCTCTGAAAATTTAGGCGGTCATTTTGGGTAAAAGATAGATGTAGATAATTGACTTTGCCTGAACTGGTCATTAGTAAATTATTTCTGGACTGTAAACTTGTCCAGTTGATTGGGATAAAAATGATGTGAACAATTTATGTCCAGTTCAGAGCTAAAGAGAATTGATCTTCATCAAATGCTTTTTCATGGCTTGGCACTAACACTTCTGGGGCTTCTGCTTTCACGGTGTAAGTGGTGCTGGTTAACTCATACCTTGCTTCCTTTTCTGCCTATAGTAGTGCCAGCTTTGGAACATCCTCCCATAGTTCAAACAGCACGGCGTAAGTACTGCTCTAAATCCTGTTGCTGCATTTGGGCCCGATATATTTGCTACCTCTCTTACTAACATGGTGTCGGCTGTTCAACTTCATCCAACAAGACAAAATATAATAGAGGCCATTTATTATTGACTGAAGAACGTACACCATATTTTCCGGTCTATAAGTCGCAACCTTGTATAAGTCTCAGCTTTCTGCATGGTTCATGCAATGAATCTTTTCGTTTTAAGCGCATCAGTATCATGAAGTCTGAGTTTCGCACAATCGGCTAGCTCAAACGTACCGTTTGACACGCAACAATTTCGACGTTTCGACTTGTGAGAAATGCCCAAAGCATGGCGTTGTCTGGCGTGGGCAATCTAGTGTTACGCTGCAAAAGGACGTAAAACGCACAAATTGAGAAAGTAGTCGGTTTTATTTTATTGTACACATGCTGAGCGAACGAAAGTTTGCTCACATGCGTGACTTGGCCTAGGCCTAACTAAGGCAGAGTCACGGAGACGACATAAGCATCAGCGCGCAGGCAAATAGATAAATCTTGACACACTTCTTGCGGTAATAGATCAGCTAGCCGCAATCCTTCCTTTTACGTGTAGCAACACGGTAGGAGCATGGCAGATAAAAACTGCTCATCAAACAAAAACTAAGAAAGACACGAGAAAATGTTTTGCAACGCATGTATACCAGCCCGCTTGCCTTTCAGTGTTGCTGGACTGAAGCAAAACAATACGGAACCATGGCTGAATTAGGCAACGGCGATCACATGCTGTAAAAGCTTTATTCTCACTGCCTTGCCTGTCCACATTGGGGAAACCGTCAAATTTTTCGCTTTCCGAGTCGTTTATGAAAAGTGTAGAAAAGTGCTGCGACAACAGTGCCTCCTGGAAGGGGCAACACCACCTACGGCTACATAGTTTTCGTCCTCTACGAAAAATGGCACACTGTGCATAAAAAAATCGCTCCACACCGTGAATCTAAAAAAAAAATGCATATAAGTCGCATCGTTGTATAAGGCGCATCAAGAAAAATGTTTGAAAGAAACCGCAACTTATACTCCGGAAAATACTACTGCTTTTTGGGGGCTGAAAAGTGTAATTAGCTAGTATGTGTAATTCTCACCAAAGTAATTTGGGAAACATCTCCATTAATAATGCTGTAAAAATTTACTATAGCCAGTGGCAACCCTTAAAATTTTACCAAATAAGTGCAGTTCTTTATAACGTTGATGTAATTTCTTGAACCTTTAAAATTTTGTTGATAATTTATGTGGCATTTCCATAACGTAAGCTCAAAAATTGACTAAAATAAAGTATAACTGAATTACTCTGTTGGATGTTTGTAAAATGTGGATTACTGATCAATACTTTAAAATAGACAATGCTTGAACATGTTTTGAGGAAGAATATTACTTCTTGATATATTTTTTGTTACTTATGTGTGGATGCTTGCTTTGTCTCCCGAGGCTTGACAGTAATTGAACAGTTTCCTTGTATGTCAATATGCAGTTGGTATATTCACTTCTGTCATTTATTTGTTTTGGAGCTTTAATATTTCATTTGGTGAACAAAAATACAACAAAACATTGTGTCAGCTATTTTCATTATAACCCAAATCACACAAACATTTCTTCTGTTAGGGTTTTGACAAAGCCCTTTAAGTGCATATTAGATTCAGCATGACATGGCATTTTCCTATGGGCCTTGGTATTGGCATATTACAGAAACAAAGTTAAAAGAAAAAGCACTACTACCAAATTAACTGGTAATTTGTAGTTTCACACAATCTTTAACCAAAAATGAATATAAAATTTAAACTGGATTAATTGATGGGTTTAGGTAAAGAACACATTAATTAACTAAGTTTCAAAATTTTATGCCTGCATGATTGTATGATTAATAACTACATTCACCAGGCCCGTTCTTATTTCTGAAGCCAAAGTTTGAGTCGTAAAATATTTCTTGGGCAGATTTTTATATGCCACAGGAAGGCAGTCTGCCTTGAAATGAGTTCTTATGTCGTCACCATAGAGGTGCTATTTTGACAGCGCGTACAGCTGCTAGCCTGGGATCTTCACTGTGCATCACACAGTGGTGATTACACAAATTGACATGGATCAATACCGTCAATACCACAACCAGCAAGAATTGCAATGGAACCGGCGATGTCCGAATCTGCAGTAACCTTTTGCTCTACATGCTATGAAAGTGTTGTGCATAAACAAATTAGGAGCTCTGTCTTTTTCGATAGGTAAAAAATCTGTTAAAGCCTTAACATACTCATGTACCAAGAAATAAATAATTTTAGTTTAATCAAGAAGCACTGACAAGACAGTGACAGTCAGCACATTTTCCTCTCAAAACCCTCAGTCGAATTGAAGCTTCACAACTTGGTTAAGTTCAAGTCTTGAACGGTTTTAACATGAATCTCACCTGAACCTCTCCTCCTCTTCTATGTGTACACAAAACCAAAAAGTGGACCGTCACTTATTGTTTGCTTCTTTCTGCTGCTGTGCTACAGTGACGACGCCCCTGTTCACCCACTGCACCGGCGCCGCTTCGAGAGCCTATGTTGACCCCCACACCTACGAGGACCCCAACCAGGCAGTGCGCGAGTTCACCAAAGAAATCGACGCACTCCATATCACCATCGAGGCCATTATTGGCGGTGGGGAGTTTGGCGACGTGTGTCGCGGCAAGCTCAAGTGTCCTGGCCGGCCTGAGGTCACAGTTGCCATCAAGACTCTGAAGCCAGGGTCCTCGGACAAGGCTCGCATGGACTTCTTGACCGAAGCCAGCATCATGGGCCAATTTGACCACCCCAACGTCATCTTTCTTCAAGGAGTAGTCACCAAAAGTAACCCCATCATGATTATCACCGAGTACATGGAGAATGGATCGCTCGACACCTTCCTGAGGGTAATTGTGGCTTTATAATAATAATAACACTTATTTTATGCCTAAAAGCAGTCTTGGGTAGTAACGCGTTACTGTAACTTCATTACTTTTTTGGTAACTTGTAACTGTAACGAGTTACCTTTTAAAATGTAACTTGTAACTGTAGTTCTATTACTTTTTCTGAGCTAACGATGAAAGTAACGACGTCACTTTTGTCGTTACTTTCCAGTTCTTCCTATGAATATTAGATCATTGAACGAGTACAATATAGCTTCTTTGCACTTTCCAAAATGTGTTTTCCAACATTTTGAGTGTCAAGTTGGTCTTGCACAAACTTGTGAATACGTCTTTTCTCGCGAGTCACGACCCGAATATAGCCACAAGAAGATTTGATGAAAAAAAAAAAATCTAGTTATCTTTACGCACGCGCTTGTACTTTGTGACTGAACACTTATATCTTAGTATCTTAATATCTTAGTATCTTTCTTCTGCGCAAACGCTTTTTAATCGGGTGAATCAACCGTGAATCAACAATACACGCGGAGGTCGCTGCGCATGTTTTGTATTTTGATTAGCGCCACTACTACGCAATGCGCATGTTTCGTATCTTCATTTGCGCCACTACGGCGTGGTATCAACAGTCGAGGCAAAATGTACTGCTGTTTGCGCGGGGTTTGTTTCTGGCTTGCTGGGTACGAACTGAAATATGTCCAGCGACTCTATGGACCCAGCGCAACCGTAAACGAGCCACCAATATACTAGTGCTACCAAGGATAGGGCATTTGTACTGGGTCTGCGTTCGCCCCCGTGCAATTTTTTCAGGCTCGCCATTTGAGCGCCTGTTCAGCAAGGGCAGGGACGTGTTTGCCATCAAATGAGGGGAAACTTTCAGACACTAACTTCAAGAAGCAGCTGCTGCTAAGTTACAATATGAAGCAAAAAGCACACTTTTTATTTTTATGCAACAAAATTTGGTGAGGGGCGTTTTCAAGTTTTTCCTCAATTTTTTTTTTGTGTTATAGAAAAGTAACTGAAAAGTAACATTGTTACTTTTTAAAAGTAACTGTAACGAGTTACTAATTTGTTGCAGTAACTGTAACTTCGCTACTTTTTTTTAAAGTAACTAACTGTAACAAATTACTTTTTAAAAGTAACTTATCCAAGACTGCCTAAAAGTGACTGAAGTCTTGATATGAAGCAGGTTTGTGATTATACAACATGCACAACCCACAGATAGGAAAGCAATATGGTTGTGATGAGTAATGCAGAGTTTCGAGTTCACGTTTAAAATCTGCATAATTCGTAAAAGCATTTAAAGACGTATTTGACAAAATGGCATTAAAAGGCACTTGCAACGGAAGGCATACAGTAGGCACTTTAGCAGCGGCTGAAGCGGCTGCTTGCCCCTGAAGCTCCGTCTCAGATTTGTCGTAAAAAGATTGTTACGATTCATTTGTTTGGAAAGTAGAACTGAGCCAGATTTGAACATGAAGCTTTGACTTGGGGAATTTTACTCACAGCAGAGTTCAGAATGGTGAAGTTTTACATGGTGAAAAGTACCCCAGTCCCTCATACTTTTCACTTTTTTGGTACAAGCCTCGTAGCACAGGACTTAGAACTATTTCGCTGCTATGATGAGTGGGGTTCATCACCCCTCTGCTCTATTTAACAATCCATGAAAGCTGTGAGCACTGTCGAACTTGTAGCACAGGTAGGGTGACCACCTTCCTGCCGGTGGATTGCGGGACACCCTGACCAGGGGGGAGGGGGGGGGGGGAAGAAGGGGGGAAGGGGGAAAGGGGGAGGGGGGGAAGTAAGAGGAGGACGGTATTTTCACGACTCAAGAAATAAGTATTAGGGGAAATTCATCAACGCACACACCCCGAAATCCTGTGCTGTCCGAAAGCGTATTATACACCTGAAAATTGTACGCGGCAATTAAACTAAGATAAGTTTCATTCACAGTGATATATTTTTGTTTATTTGTAATGGTAAATATTTCATTAAAAGTATTTAAGTTGAAAACATACAGATCGACTGCACCAGACCCCAATGCATCAAAAGGAAATAAAAAAGCAGTAAATATTTTTGGGCTTATTGTTTCCTGTCGATACTTACTCTTACATTAACATGCTTCTACACAAAAATAAAACCTTATGTTTTTTGGTTTTTTTTACCATTGTGAGTTGCAGGTTTTTTTGCCTTCTGTAGCCGTCTTCACTAAAAAAAGCTTTCCACAACAATCCTTTCGCATGATACAGTATGATTTGCAACTAATTACAATAGTTTATTTTTAAGCTTTTGGCGATCAATTTTCGCTTGCAATATTTTGCCATCAAGGGGAGAGGCACAACGGCGCATGTGCGTCAGTCTCCTGCAAGAGCGACGGTCACTTCCCGCAATGCTTGGACAGAAAATGGCGTACAATTGCGATTCCCACGATTACCAGCGACCTCCGCGCTTCCCGGTGCCCCGTCGTTCGGCAGCGCCATGAGTTGCAGAGTGAATTTTACTGCAGTACGAAATGCGGGACATTTTGAAGAATTAGGAATTTCTTGCGGGACGCGGGACACGAGCCCTCAGTGCGGGACAGTCCCGCGAGTCGCGGGACGGGTGGTCACCCTAAGCACAGGGCATCATGGGGTGAGAGCAGCTTAAGGGATATATGGGCGGCATCCATGGACGAGTATGCTCGTCTTCCGCTGTGATGGGTCTAATTGCTATCTGAAGCTTAGTAGTGCGAAAGCATTAACTGTCCCATGGTGCGAAGCCTGTCTGTAACCGTCTGTAGCAGAAAAACAGCACCCACAAGTGGAATTCCCATTGGCTGGGATGTGTCATATTAGATGCTTCATCATGGAAGCCAGCCGGGCGCAGAAAGTCAAAGCAGACATGCCTCAGAAATAAAGCACAAAGAAACGCAAAGCAACGCAGGTGCATCGTCACGGAAGTCATGGAGCCAGAGGGGGCGCTGCGCCTGTGCTGTGTAAGGGAGCGTGATGTCACCGCTGGCGCGCCGTGCGAAAAAGGAAGACGTGGCACGCTGCTTGTAGGAATGCGAGAGCATTTCTACACATAAGCAGTCTTATGTCTCTCTGCCGAATTTTATATAAAAACTTTATACCCCCAACACACACACACACACACCAAATATCAATTACATTCCTGCCTGGCAATGGCCTTAAAGCACGAAAATAAATTTTGTTACTACGTACAATATATCCAGAGTAGAACTTTTTTCAGAAATCTTCTGAGCTGTAACTTATCTACATTACAAGGATAACAATGGAATAAGTTTTCAGAATTATCTTGAGGTTCTAATGATGAACAAAATTCAGTTTTTCAAGACTAGCTTATGCCGTGCTGCATATATAGGGTCCTTTGTTTTCGGGTAAAACCCAATGCTCCCAATATTTGCGCCCCAAGCATGTTTCCCCAGAAATCAGGGTAAACCCGATTTTTCCCAGAAATCTGAAATTGAATTTTACCACCTTCCAAATTGCTCTACTTTGAAAATATTTTCTAGGAAGCAAAGAATATATACAAGAACATGTGTGCTAGCTCCAGACCTCACAAACGAACCTAGATTCTGTTGGCTTCAGTGAACTTCAGTGACATATATCAAGCCCCCAAATGTTGCTTATGCCCATTGTGAAATATCCTTTGTGCTTATTTCCTTCTGTTTCAAACAGTAAAAAAAAAAAAAAAAGTGAGAAAAGAAGGATGAGGATCTTCTATCGAAACTTTATTGTGACAGGAACAGCTAGCTGATATTTGGGTCTGGTCGAACTGAAGTGATATGTGTACATTGGGCAATTGCACAGTTGGGAGTTGAAACCAGACAGGTCTAGGATGGAGTCAGAGATTCTGTGCTTGCAGATGAATATGAAGGCAATAAGGATTTATAAAAATTCTAAAAGCCCAAGTGAGCTCTTATGTCATGTTCCAATTTAAGTGTCCTTTATGGATTGATTGTGAAAAACAATCCATGTACTATATAAAATGATCAATGTTCTTTACTGTTAATTATTCCTATATATGTGCAAATATAACCTTAAAAACCCGAATTCCTGAACAATTTATTTAAAACCCTATTTTTTCCCCGATTCTCAGCTTGGAACATATTGGAATGCAATTAATCCCCCCCCTCCCTCCCCCTTCCCACCCTATTTTTTTTAAATTATAAAATCCCCAAAACAAAGTGTTTTACTTATATCTAATGTCATAATGTCATATAATCTCATAACTAATGTTAGAGGGCACACAGAAAAGTTTTTCTTCCTAACGCTTTGTTTTCTATCTTTTCTTCTACATTTCAGGCCAATGACGGGAAATTTCAAGTTATTCAGCTGGTTGGAATGCTCAGAGGAATTGCAGCTGGCATGCAATACCTTGCGGAAATGAATTATGTTCATCGGGTAAGCCTTTCAAAAATATAGCGTATTGCTTTTATTTTTATAGAATGATGGGGCAGTCCTCACTTAGCTTATAATGTCTGAACAGGGGTGTATAGCATAACTAATCCTGAAAATACAAGCACGTAGGAAAAAACTTCACCTTATGATGTTTGAACTTTAAATTGTGGCTTTGTTTTCCATGGCATAGAAAAGAATTGTGTAACAAAACTTATATGTGAAAACAAAGAAAAAAAAATTAATGCAAGCATTACCTTTTCCCCTCGAAAAAATGGATATAATATTTTACCACATATTGAGCCAGCACTCTTGTCACCTGAACTCTTAAATTTATAATTTAATGCTCTGGCACCATAAAAGGCACTGTAATAGGAAATGCTGGGAGCATGGTACATTTACTGAACCCATGAACTTGGTTGTAAAAATGAACCATAATTGGAAGAGAAATGTATGAAAACATGCCTTTCTAGATGCTATTAGGACACTCATGAGCACTCAAATAAGTATGGCTAAATTCAATAAATGAATCTAGTAAAGGTCAGTTTTTCTTAAAATTAGCAATATGTTAATCCTGCAGTATGCTAGTAATCATTCTTCTTGGCATGGAAGGGCAGCATATGTGACACTTTTAATGATCTCAGAGGTGCAGCTTTTTCAAGAACTTGGTATTAGGAGCACCGAGTTTTCTTTGACTCAATAAATGTGGCCTGCACCTCCTTTTAAAATCCATGCAAATGCCATCATTAAAGGGCATGCCCTTCATTTTCATCCACAAAGTAGAACTTTGGCGTCTCTGACTGTCCCATTCTCTTGCTGGATATTCAGGACTTGGCAGCCAGGAACGTGCTCGTCAATGCCAATCTCGTGTGCAAAATTGCCGACTTTGGCTTGTCACGTGAGATCGAAAGTGCAACCGAAGGAGCGTACACCACCAGGGTGAGTCATGTGAGTGCACATTTTGTGCAAACTTGTGAGTAACACTTAAAAGGTTTCCTATAGTTTCTTCTTTATGAATTTAAGCTGCGTGTTAAAGATTCTATTACTAGACTCAGAATTCAACAGTTAAAGAATATGTGTAACATCTATTGTTGCTTTCATAATCTCCCACTTTGTTTTCTGCTTTTATATTAATTTTAATGCATGTGTGACCTCAGGTCACTTGGGGTTCTTTTCAACTGGAAGTATTCATAGGGTATGTTATTATCAACTTCCAAATAAGAGCAGTCTTTTTCAGTAGAAGAACCTGAAATAAAATAAAATATGGTATGTTTGAATATGACAAAGAATGCCAACACCTTGCAAAGTCTTAAAATTAAGAAGAAACATCCCACACAGGGGACATTATTCTTTCTGACATTAAAGCAAGGATGCTGATGAGCTGATTTAATTCAGACATCTTAGCCCCAAAAAATGGAGAAAGGAGAGCTAGAACAATACAAATTTGTAGACACATTTAAATTTAGCTATTCGGTTAAAATGTCCAGTACCTTGGCCTGACCCAGTACTTTGGCTATTTCACAAGATCCAGTACTTCGGATCTTGTGAAATATTTTGCTAGGAAGGAGTTGCAAATGGATGCACGTCCGCACTGTCACTTCTTCCTGACAGACGTTGTAACTGCAATAAAACCTTTGGAATAGAAAAAGAAGCTAGTATATAATTTAAGAAAAGCTAACTTTATTTATCTAATAATATAATTACTTCGAGTTACTTGTCCAGAGACATCCACGAGGGGTGATTCGAGGTTACAGCACTGATTGCCCGGGCCGTGGTTTCAGGGTGGAAAGATCCCCGTGCGGTGGACTGCCCCCGAGGCCATCGCGTTTCGCAAGTTCACTTCGGCGAGCGACGTCTGGAGCTTCGGAATTGTGTGCTGGGAGGTGATGTCTTACGGGGAGAGGCCATACTGGAACTGGTCCAACCAGGATGTCATCAAGAGCATCGAGAAGGGCTACCGGCTGCCAGCACCTATGGTAAGCAGACTCCTGGAGCACCATCGTGGCTCAGGAACTGAGTCCCTCGTAGCAGATTTCGTTCCTTTACATTGGGGGTTCCGAAACCTTTGTCTGCCCTGAACGGCAGTCGAGGGAACCCTCCTGGTCTCGACATTGGTATGCAATGAGCCGGACACTTACAGATCTTGTAAAGAATAGAGCACATACTATGAAGTTTCACAACTGTGCATCAGTAGGTGGCTCAGCTCTGCTAAGGTGGCGCTTAAACTGAAAAATGTTCTTCAGAGGTGTAGGAAATATCATGGAAATTTAAGAGCTCAGAGAATGGGTGCTTTGGGAACTCCAAGGTTCTTAGGACCTCAGTTTGAGAGTGCGTTGCTCACATCATGTCCAAATGAACTGGACACCCGTCTTACCTTAAAATCAAAGGTACCAAAATATCACAAAAGGCCAGTGTGTCACCCTCTTCATTCCTTCCTGTCCACCACTGATAAGAGCCACTGCATCCTTTTTTTTATTCTTATAAGGGACAGATTACTGCATGGAAAAATAAGTACAGGGATTCGGGCACCTCTGCAGGTCGAACACCTGTTGAAGTAGGACAAAGTCACTAGCACCGATGTAGCGCATGCCCCATGATAAACATCCTCTTTATTTCAGACACTTCTATAAGTCGCGCGGTCTAAGAGCACATCGTAAGAATGTGAGCTGTAGTGGTTTCACTGTATGGTGCATGCCACCATGTAGTTTTCTTGTTCCTCTTGTTGTAAAGGAGAATACAGTCCTTGAAGCCAAAAGCACTATTGGGAAGCCACATTGTGCCTTTGAAGCTTTCAGTCAATAGCTGTGTGGAACTCACACGTATAATGTCAGGTGAAGCAAGTAATGCCTCATCTATATGTGCTTCATTTGATATTAACTTTAACAGTGTTGTGGGCTGTGTTCTCTTCTGCTTGGGTATTTTTCTGGGGATTAATACATAGTGGCGTCACTAGGGTCAGCGGCACAGTGGCCTGCTGCGGCACCCCCTTGTCTCGAATCCCGGTGAAGTGCTCACCAGAGAAAAGCTCACCACTTTTGTGCAGGTCCGGCGAAAATCTCACCAGTCTTTTGAAATACCTGGAGAAAAGCTCTCCTCGAATTAAATTATTATGTAAAGTGGTCGTTATCCTTTAATAGCATTACCACGGTTTTAGGTACTTCTCACGAAGCGATTTTTCACATTTTACTTAGAGAAGGCATTGATCAGCTACAAACTTTTATTGCATAAGTTTGTGTCCCGAATGAGCAATTTCCACCGCGCTAGTAGTTTTGATAGAAACCACTAAAATGTAAGAAAAAAAAAAAGCCAATCATTTGTTTATGTTGACTGTGTCACACAGTGCACACACCTCACATCAGGCCTCTCTGCTGTAAGCAAAATAGAAAAAAATAAAGTAAACTCTCGCTTGAGCGAACTTCAAGGGACCCAAGGAAATAAGTTCACTTAACTGAAAGTTCACTAAACTGAATATATTCACTAGAACATGGAACAGCATAGGGCACAGCATAGATCGAGTCAAAAGTGTGAAATGCAATGTATGCAGTCGTGTACATCAACATATACAAGGTCTATAACAGTTACGTTGCTGCCTTTCTCATTTTGAAAAAAAAAAAAAATTGTAATTTTCATGCGCACCGGCGCTCTTAAAGCACATGAAGTAAAAAAGCTGTCCAGAAAGTCTATGCTTTTTGGCACTTCCTCTGGCACAGCTTGTTGTCGTGACGAAGACGTACCGAAACAGCATTGTCCCCTAGCTTGAAATATTCCGTGCAGAGTCGTTTCCTGTTGAGGTTGATTGCAGCTTCTCCTTCAAGCTTCGACTTTTTATTCACTATCGTTGACATCTTCGATGGTGGAACCCCATAGTCCTTCGCAACATCCACTTGCCTTTGACCGTTGTCCAGACGCTGAAGAATTTTGAGCTTGTCTGATAGAAACAACCGCTTCCGTTTCGTCGTACTCATTACGAAAGTGTATGCACAAACTGCCGTCCTGCCGTTGTTACCCAAAACTAAGGTGGCCAAAGGGAACCGATGACAAAGAAAAAAAACGTTCAGCTTTTCCACTCTCATGAAGAAGGAAGACCAGCGGAGCTGTACTCGACACACTGCCGCAACGCGAACGCACCCGATTCCCGCTTCTTCTTGTCCGACACGCCGCTGATCGTGGATACGTCTTCGACGAACCAGAGACGGTCGCACACGGCGCACTTGACGCCAAACGGGTTCTCCACGAACTCCCTCCGGAACCTCGCCGTTGCACCCGGGAACTGTTCAGCTGGCGTGGAGTGCAGTCGTCGTTGGGCCTCGCGCTTGCGCTTGGCCTCCGTGGCACGATCGTCGTCCGTGGCGTTGGCCCGCCGGCGCCCTTTACATCGCTTGTTCTGTTCTCGGCGGCGGCTTTCCAGGCGAGCGATGTGCTCTTTGGCAAGGGAATCTGAAGCGCTGGACGCAGTGGAAGTCGACGCGACAGCGGCTTTGCGGCGGCTGCGGCCCCATTCGCGCTGCTGCGTACGTCGCCGCTCCCCAGTCTTCTTTCCCCGAAAGGGCGCGCGGCTGACCCATTCTAAGTCCAAACCGAAACTGATAAGAGCATAGGAAACAGCGCGCAAAACAGACGAGGACGAAGAAACACACGTGACGAGCGCTGCGCTCGTTACGTGTGCTTCTTTTTTGTCGTCGTCTGTTTTTCACGCCGTTTCCTACAATGAATTCCCACCAACGCGCCCAACTATCAATTCTTCTTTGACAGCTGGAAAGGTTGCCGCCATCTACGAGCGACGGCGGAAACCAGACTGGTTGTGTGCTTGCCACCGTCGCTTATAGATGGCGGTAGCTGTCCAGGTAGGTTTGTGTCGACATACCGGACACGATCCTGGGGAACCTGGTCCTTAAAGGGACACTGACACCCCCCAAAAATGTTTTTTTTTATTTTTTGCCAGGCGCTTCATTATGGTGTCAGAGGACTACCCAATTAATATTTTGCAACAGAGTAGCATATTTTTTTAATAAAGCCAAAAGACGCAACTGCTCGAAACCGAAACCGAAACCCGACGGAGGTCGGAGAAGTGGAGAGAAGAGATTGAGTGGCGGAAGTCACGTGGCTACACCCGACCGTGCGCTTTTCTTTTTTTTTTTTTTTTTCTCCTCTCCGGTAGCAGACGACACGACATGTGGCGTGCGATTCTTTTGCAGTTATGTTTGTTCCGTTCGTTGTTCTGTACTCTAAGATGAGTTGTTTTGTACATTGAGGAGTTGGAGATGAGTAGTGAGTGCCCGTGGTGAATTTCCATGATCGGCTCCAAAAAAGAATACACCCAAGATGTTGCGTGAAGAGCTGGCTCACATGTCCTGCATCCGAAACAAAGTGGCATTGTGCGACAGAGTTTCCGAAAGATCAACGGGATCGGGACCAATGGCTGGCTGCAATTCCTGTAGAACATATACGGGCACCTCGGAAAGCGGACGCTACCTGATTTATATGCTCCTTGCATTTTGTGGAAAGTGATTACATTGAGTTCGCAGGTGTCAAAACGGAAATCCGATACCATTTAATTCAGCGAAGTATCGTTCACAACATTTGTTCGTTATTTTTTTTTTGTTTTGTTTCTTCAGTGATGATTGGTAAAAAAAAGAAAAAGATATGTAAACATCGGAAAATGTTTGAAAAAATAAAAAATACTTCACGGGGGATCGAACCCAGTCCTACCGCGTGTGAACCGGACGTCTTTCCCACTGAGTACTCGTTTGTGGTGGATCTCTTTCCTTAGTAATAATTCAGCCGGTAAACTGTAAGTTGGAAAGTTTGCTGTCGATTTTTCTCTAGCAAAAGCACTTCCGGGTCGAAGTCGGGAAGCACCACGCTTTGGGGACATTCGCACCTAGTAAAGAAATCGTACGCGTGCATATTCAACTCGAAGTAGACACGTCGTGCTTGACGTTTGCGCGAGCGATGTCTTCAGCCACGAGAAGGGAGCGACGGCGCGGCGACGTCTTCGTGCAAATCGGCTTGTTGGCCGGGCGTGTCGTACGGGATGAATACCAATTCTTTTGATCAGTCCCAAATTTCTCTTTTAACGGTAGACAGAATTCGCCGGTTCGACAGTTCTGAAATAGAGGTCCCACGCCCGTCGTCCGCTGCCATCGCTGTCCCCGCGAGTCCCACGATACGCGAAACGACGCACGCACAGAATGCTTCCGGTTGTCTGTGGAACTTTTTTTTTCAATCAACGTATTTACAGCTTTTTAGAAGCCACAAAAAATGGGTTTCATATTTTTTTCTATTTTTAATATTGAGCGTGTGCCTTCAGTGACCCACGACTTTGATTAAATTTGGTGGTCGCATCGATACCTTAGAAAATGGCCCGTGACCGCGAAAAAGAGAGTGAGCGAGACTCGAACCGGCCAGTTCTTGATCGGCGGTTTTCGGGCGGAAAGAAACCAAATTTCGAGCCGCAAATTCTGTTCTGGGTAGTTGAGCTCTCATATGTCACGTACAACTAAAAACCTCGGCGAGCATAAATACCCTGTCAGTGTCCCTTTAACAGCTCCGTTGTAAACCATCACATGGTTTGTTTTCGTCTACTGCACTGCCGCTTTGCCTCAGCGACACTGAAAACGCCAGCGATGATACGCCGCCGCTGCCTCTACAGTGGCGGTGGGGCGGTGGTCATCGGCTGCGCCAGCACTGCAGAGCACAAAACTTTGTTGAACCATAGCCTCCTCTATACTCACAAAGTCTTGCAGTTTGACGACGGAGCCATAAAATGCCCGGTCGCAGATTTGGAGCATGAGGATCTGGCAGCAGAGAGCATTTCTCGGGAGACCTTGTATTCAGCACACAAGTTTTGCAGTGGCAAGGACCTGAAACATGGTTTTCAAGCCCGACGAGAAAAAAAAGCGGTAGCCCGATGAACGTGAGGAGCATGAGCGGACATTCCATCGCTCAGGACAAGTGTGTCTCGGCGTCTCGCCGCAGCGGGGCGCCCATTACATGACTCTCCTCTGATCCGTTGTCTGACGCTCTACCTTCTCAATTTCGGCGGCCGCTTCTTGTAACCATCTGCCAGGCTTTGTCACTGTAGAAAAGGCTATGGTTGAACTGATTGAAAAAAATAATCCTGGGTTCACCGATCAAGTTAGTTGAACTAAAATGTTCGCTATTCCGAAATTCGATTTTTATTTAGTTAAGTATTTTTGCATAGAATGCATGGGAAACCCACCAGAGATTTTTTTAAAGTTCATTATTCTGAAATATTTGTTAAACCGACGTTCGCTGAAATAAGAAATTACTGTAATAATTTAAAAATAGTATCTTATTTTTAAAAAAAATTTAAGTCAGATTTATTTTATTTTGATCAGTCTAATATCACTGTAACTAGAAAATATTGGTTATTTATTACTATATGCGTTTAGGTTGTTTGATCAATTCTTCTGATCATTGAAAACAATGCCGAAAAAAAGAATTACTCCAATCTTACAACGTTTTGTTCTTGAAAATTAAAAAAATTTATTGGATTTGCTTTTTCTCAATCTATTTCCTTGCAAAACATTACTTTCCCAATTTTCGTTTCTATATTCTGCGTTCTCATTTAACTGTAAAAAAAAAAAGAAAAGTGACATAACTGATGAAGTTGGAGGTAGAATTAAAGCTCAGTGCATTGATTTGCTTCGAAGACCACTGGTTTTTGCTCATGTTCAGTGCAGTATAAATCTTTCTTGTGTGAGGATTTTTTGAGTTAAGTGCAAAAACATATGCGCATATTGAAAGCATCCAATGATAAACAAACGGTAAATATTAAAAAATATATATTTTTGGGATTATTTTTGCTGACGTGTTACAGGACGTTTCTATATTTAAAAAATCAATTCTGCTAGTGAAGTGCAGAATGACCGCATGCACAAAAGGCATCCCAGCTTACTTCAGTTAAGTGAACTTATCTCAGTGAACGTTCAATTCTTAGATTCATGAGTGAGCTTTCCTCCGCATCCGTCAAAAAGTCCGGAGAGCTTTTCTCCGGTGAGCTTTTCTCCGCCACCCGCCCTCGTGGCTTTTCTCCCCTGCCCCCTCTGCCCTCCCCTAGTGACACCACTGTTATTACGCACGAGTCAGGCGCTTGCCAAATTATGTCATTAAGAGTCTCACAACATTGCCACCCCTTCACATCTTTGACAGATACAATCACATCGCAGTGCCAATTACAAAAGTGGCTTACTGACAGGGTGGAAATGGGTAAAAAGATTAAAACTACTTTTTTTTCTTAATTCGTAGGACTGCCCGGAAGCTGTGCACCAGTTGATGCTGGACTGCTGGCAGAAAGATCGGTCCCACAGGCCTCAATTCACGAACATCGTAAAAACACTGGACAAGCTCATACGCTGCCCCGAAAGCCTACGAAAAATTGCTCAGAACAGGTAAGCAAAGTCACGGTTGCATCCGACGTTCTAAATGTGTACATGCGCAATTGAGTCCTATTTCATTCTTTTCAGAATAAACTTGTTGCAGCAGAGAAGGGTCATATTGAGGAAGTGGGGGCCTACTTCAGCACTTGTAGCAAAGTTTAGACTAGACAGAGAATTGCCTAAGGGCGGAATTGTGAGGATTGCTTTCTGTGCCCCGCCTCTCTCTCCGGAGGGTGCTGCAAAAGCACTAAAGACTTTTTGTCTGGGAGCTTGTCCCTGCAGAAAGAGGGGTTGCCCAGTTTCTGCTTGTACATCAGGCTTTTAGCCTTACGAGTAAATTCAGTTTTCTGTTTCCAGCTTTATTATTTCTAGTAACCCCGATTTCTTAAACATTGGTATCTTACTGGGAGTGCTAATTTTATGCTGTATCAGTTTATTTTTATGCTGCAAAAAAATAAACGAGGTTCGCTTTTCTCGACTCATTTCCTGCAGCTGGACCTTATTAAAATAAAATATTTCATAGCAAATTGCGAGGTGTCATAAATAGGGTATTGTATTTTTCGATATATATGCAGTCAAAACTCTATTTAATGAACCCCGACCTTATGGATTTCCCATCTAACGAAGAAATTGCGTTTTCCCTGAAGTTTCTTATAGGGTTTAGTGCTTATATGAACTCGAAATAACGAAGTAAATTGAACCTGACGTTTTAAAACCTGTCAGCACCATCTTGCCTCTGCGTCTGCATGCGCCCCCTGGCCACATTTATTGAGACTTACAAAACAATATTATTACAACATTCTCCACTTACTTTTGTTTTCCGAAGGCACCAGAACCCACTAGACCCCAATGCGCCGGACATGACGCAGTTCAAGACGGTGGAGGAGTGGCTGTGCAGCATCAAGATGACGCGCTACCTCGAGAGCTTCCAGCGGAGCGGCTTCTCCAGCATGGAGGCCGTCTCCCGGCTCACGCTCAAGGACCTCACTGCGCTGGGCGTGGTCTTGGTGGGCCACCAGAAGAAGATCATGAACAGTGTGCAGACGCTGCGGGCGCAGATGAACGCCACCATGTCGGACGGCTTTCTCGTTTAGGGAGAACGGCCCTCCGTAGGGACAAACAAACGGACCGCTTTGATCTCGCACCAACCCTAACTTAAAGAGGCAAGCTCCGAGGAGGGAGGAGAAAAAAAGCCTTAAGAGAAAAAGGCGTCGGCAAACAAAAACACGAGTGCGCATTGCTATGCAACACGTTGCAACGAGTTTGCGTCGACCTGTGTTCCGCGGCTAAGGAGGGAACCTGCGTGTGTAAATATTTGTGAACATCTTTTGCATATCATGGCAACGAGCGGGCGGAGAGACACACTCGTCTCGTGTGCCCCATTCCCGTTCTGCATATCACATCGACCTGTGCGTGTGTGAGTGCGTGCATCGTCCTGTCCTCGTCCTCGTCGACCGAAGACGGCGGGCTGGAGGAAGATGACGGAAAAAAGTGGACGTCCGCATTTGTCGGAGGTTCGCACCGCTCCATATCAGACTGCCTCTTTTTTCTGTTTTTTTTTTTCTTGCTGGGTGTTGTTTATTTTCAAACTTTTAAAAAACTCGATTGTGTGTTGAAGCTCACTTCAGCTTGTGATGTTGACATTCTCTAGTATAGAAACTGTGGTTCAATTATTTTTTTTTTAACTGCTATTATTAAGCAGTGCAAACAGTGACTCCTGTTGAGCTGGAGTTTGATTAATGTTCCCATTCCTGTTCATTTTTTTTTTCTTTTCCGCATTGGATGGAACAACATTTAGGGTGGTTTCTTCACGTTTTAATTTGAGACGGCGAAGGGTTTTAAGGAAGTCATAGCAGGATCATGGGCTCTCCTTGGAGCCCGAGTGACCTGCCAATCCGAAGGCATCATCCACTGCCGTTACGCGGGACGCCCATTTCTGTCTGAGAAACATTTTCGGCCAGAGGCGCCCCACTTGCTCGGGCCGTTTGTACGACTGTGAAGGGGCCCTACCCATGCTGCTAGGGGCTCCCAGTAACTGTTGTCCTCCCTCAGATTTCCTGTCCCTACTTGTGCCATCTGCTACTTAGGTGCTTCATACATTATGCAAAGTCATGCTCCAGAGTGTTTGTCTTTGATTATGTTCCTCTTGTTGACGTTGCCACAACAATGTGCAACTTTGTTTCCTTTTCCAAACAGTTCTGCCGCATGTTTAAGAGTCCTGTACCATTGCTCAAGGAATAAGCAACTGAAGTGCTAATGTACACAGATGCAATTGAAGATGTATGCTGACTCTTTGTAGCATTCCCACAAACGAGGCCGCGTCCCTTTCCCAAAGAGCGCTTTCCCCTGTTCTCGCATCGTGATCGCAGCAACGAAACACAATCCAAGGACTCGGCATCTGGAACAATATTCCACTCATGCCCCAGCTGAAGAGTGTTTTTCTGGGTCGAGGGTTAGAATACCCTTTAAAGGCGATTAGAATTGGACTTTTGAAGGCCGTTAAACATTCAGGCTTGTTCTACCTAGGTGTAAATGCAGGCAAAATGCTCAACTTTAGTAGAATTGGAATCTGACTTGCTGTGTTGCAGGCAGGCTTTGTATCTTTGTCGGAAAAAAAGCCTTCAGAAGCTTGCTAGGTTGTTTCTAGAAACAATATGGGTAACATAGAAGCATGCTGATCTGATGACTGCATACCGTAGGTGAAAGAGTCTGTTCTATCGAAGAACGCAGGTTCAAACAACTTGCATTCTCTGCGTTCCTGATAAGCTGCAGAAGACAGATGAAACAGAAGTTGGCACCTAAAACTTGCAATGAGCCTCTAAATTTTAGAGCTTCAAAGCCACCTAGCTTTGATCTAAAGACATATATTTTGCAATTCATTTGGCCTCATTGTATACCATTGTTTCTCAATAATGCAGCACTCCGTCCTGTATCCATCGACAAATCTATTCTGTTTTTTTTTATGCGGAGGATAAACGTTTGGGTTTAATAGAAGGTAGCATTGGTCAGGAAAGTGCACCGCTATAATATTTCAGTTTTCTATTGATATACGAAGTCATCAAATTTGTTTTTATTTTATTCTCCTATGAATTTTTTTAAGGTGAACTGCGATTTGATGTGAAACTTAGGCATTGCCTGTTTTTCTTCTATTGCACATTATCTTTTCGTATAAATGGGTATTGAATCAGACTGTTGCCATTGGTGTGAGAGTAAAACATTTCCATTTGATCAATGACAGCCGCCATTGTGCGAGATGCATTGCTAAGCCTGCTGGTGCAATACCAGTTGAGTGAGACGCGATTATTCTTTGAGCAGCTCCATTCAGCTCTTTTCCTTTGGGTTGCAATAGTAGCACGAGTGGCTTCTGGATGTTCTGTAGAGCCTTTGTGTTCTTCCGAGCATCGTATTTGAGTGGACGGTTATTTATTTTGAGTAATGCAGCGAGGGTTGCTGTTGGTGTCAAAGAGTTGTTGTAATATAAAACAAGTATGTGGAGTGCGGCTGCGAAGAGATAGACCTGTATTATAAATTCCCCAATTATGCTCCGTGGTGAGGCGGAGAGTGTAAATGTTTTATATATCGTTATTTTCTTGTGTCGGTGGCCGTTATAGTCAGACTTCTACACGACGTCAGGGTGTGTGACAGGTCTCTTATAGTGTCATTCAACTTTTGGTTGCTTTTTTTTTTTTGTCTCATTCTTATACGTACGTACCCCCATCCTGTAAAAAAAAACGACAAACAAAATGCATGTCTGAAAAGGAAACGAACGGTGAAATAAGGTCGCCTGAATTGACATTGGTTCAGGCATTCAGTAGGCAGATGTGTGGACTTGAGCACGCCTAGTCACTCTTCTTTGCATGCATCACTGTGGTTATTTTACTTTCTGTTGTTTTCCAATTGTATGTATGTGTTGTATATGATCACCAGGTGGATCAGAATTTCTGCACTTTTTTCTTTAGTTTCCAGCATCTTTTTCACCTTCCAGAAGCAACCTAGCTCTCCACTTTTCTTCTACAGTTCTTGAGCTTGTTTGTGTTCCTGTTGGTTTAGGAAGGCCTTAGGTGAGTGGCCATCATCCTTTACAAGTTCTGCAAGTTCAACTGCGCCTGCCTCGCTTTTAAGTTATGAACCTCCACATGGACTGTGCTAGGTTACACTTAATGAATGCTTTCGGAATGTTGGCGCAACTCCGTGCTCCCAATCTGTACATTACATGCATATATGAGTATAATTGTGCCCTGTGGGACATTCTAAAAAGCTCTTTCATTAATAAAATTAATTTTTATGGATGTCTGCTTTCTGTGTTTCTTGTGCACCCGAAAACTTCAGTAGATTGTTTTCTCTCCTTCAGGCTTTTTTTACTTGTTGCACAATAAGCTGACCTTTCCCGTGAGTGTAGCCTTTTTTGGGCCAATGTTTGACACTTCAGGTATTTGCTGCTAAAATGACCGTAACCGGCAGTGTAATTCTAGCGAGCCATACAAGATGCACACAAAAGACTTAAAAGCTTAATTCTGAAAAAGACCACTCCTTGTTTTAGGATGCACCTGAACAACTGCGCATGTAGAAGAGGGTAAAGGGCGGTAAGAGAGGGGAGGGCACATGTGGTAAATAAGGCATTGAGGGTGTATACAGAAGAGCACGGTGAATGAGGCATTGATTATACAATGGCTGCCTACAGGCCAATTGACAGGATACTGAAAAGTTGGACAAGAAACTTTGGGAATGATGCATTCGAAGGCCATCCTAGGTGGCCGTCTTAAATATATGGCTTTTTATTTATTTTTTATTTAATATATTTATGAACCTGTCACTTGGTCACTCTCATAACACCCTTTGGGATGTCTCGTCAAACGAGTAGGGTATCAATGTCACGGATATATGCCTTGCTGTCATTAAGTGTGAGATATGTGATTTTGGTTTGCGGAGAGGTACAGAAAAATCGCTTATGTTAACGGGCCTGTTGCGGGTAGTCGCGAGAGTGTGCGCATGTGTTAGGACAACGCAACGGCGCACCCAGGGCCGCGCTGATGAAGTGACATCTTGGCGGTTATCCAGGTGACCAATCAAAATGTGTGTGATTTCACAAAGAACGGCCAATGTAAATCAAGTGGAGGCGGGGGGGGGGGGGGGGGGGGGTAAATCGTAAGTAAATCGAACGCAGCTATTCTGCCATCGCCATGCCCACCATTTAGAATATAAGCGTACCTGCAGGCACGTAGCCAGGGGGGGGGGGGGGGGGGCATGGGACCCGGCGCCCCCCCCCCCGAAAAAAAAAAAAATCTTCCATTTTGCTGGGACCTCCCCTCTCCCCTCCCCCTCATACAGCATTTTGTCATGGGGGGAAGGGCCCGACCCCCCTGACAAAATCGTGGCTACGTGCCTGCGTACCCGTCTCCCATTCTCGATTTGCCTGTGTTTCCTTGTGACATTTGAACCAAAAAATAGACTGTAAACAATTTTTGTTGGGTGCGCACGTGACAGAACGAATGCGACTGGAATGTTTGTTTTATTTTACGATGAGTTTTGACGGCGCCGCCGGCTCAGCCGTGTCAATCAATAAAGCGCTTAGCTGTCGAAAGTAATTTACAATAGTAGATAGCCGAAAGGCATGCACATATTATGCCACAAATAATGTGTTTACCCATGTGCACGACAGGACTGGGTCATAAAATTTAGAAGGTGTTAACATCTGCAGCAAAAATGATTTATTTGAGAAAGATCGTAAATAACACGGCACTACAGTGTCGACGACAGTCACATCACGACGATTGGAAAGCAACCAGGAGGACCTTGTTTAGGGGCACGAAATTTAGGGGAGAGCTTCTCTTTTTTCACAACGCCAGCACCAAGCGGAAGGAACGAACGCGACTGATCCATTTACCACCCCAACCAAAAATAACCAAAGAGCTATTTTCGGTGATGACTGAGAAGCACTCTATGCGAATTATCCCTGGGAGTAGCGCCATTTACAAAAGCCACGCAAGGATTTTTCAATCACAGAACTGTACAATCAGGATTCTATTTTAAATGCATATCAGTCGAGTGTAGTACTGTCGGTGAACGTCATAGTTATCGAAGCAACTGACAAAGATACGCGAGCAGGTTGTATTGACTGAAATAAATCAACGCACCAGGCCGATCCTGGAGTATGGATAAATGTTCCAGAAATGCGACCCACTTCATAGCGGCAGCAACAAGCGAGCTAGCGCGAAACACATGTACGACGAAACTGTCCGATCCGACGTCCGACCGCGCAATACGGCGGTCGGAGGCGAGGGTTTTCGTAGCATCGGAGAGCGTTGAAAACCCTCGCCTCCGACCGTCGTATTGCGCGGTCGGACGTCGGATCGGACGGTTTCGTCGTACATGTGTTTCGCGCTTTATAGCGAGTTCGTTTCACGGCACTCGTGCCCACGCGTGCCCACTCGCAGCGTGGAACGGGTTCGTTTCGGCCGGCGCTCCACGAGTGGTTGCACTCTCCGAGTTCGTTTCAGCGCTGACACCCCACGCGTGCATGCACTCGCTGCACCGAGAAAATCGGGAGTGCGCCAAAATGCAATCCCGTCATGCCTCGCTCCGGCGGGGCCGGCGAGGAGCGGGAGCAGACGACGAGGGTTCGTTTGCTACGATGTGTCGCGGAACCGAACGGAAAAAAAAAAAGTAGATTTTCTGATAGAAATCGCGTCCCGCGGGCAACGAAATCAAACGCGAGCTTGAATTGTGAGCGTCTGCTATTTCACGAAGAAAGCAATTGACAACCCGTGATTTATTTGCAGGTTTTAAATCGCTCTGTTGCCGTACAAACGCTGAAATATACCAGTGTGTAAAGAAATGCTCAGAACAAACGCAACAGCGGCCCCCGAGATGTCTATCACCATCCGTGTGCGGGTGAAAAATTTAACATTTTTCGATAAAACTCCCCCAGCAGAAACCTCTGACTGCCCAATAAGCAGCAGAGAAAGCTACAAAACTAGAAAGTATAAAACAGAGAGGACGAGGACGGGAACAGGACATCTTTCATTTAGCAACAACATAGAATGGCACAACGATAAAACCGCCCCCCAAGGGTCTTGAGACCCTTGGGGGGCGGTTTTATCGTTGTGCCATTCTATGTTGTTGCTAAATGAAAGATATGTCCTGTTCCCGTCCTCGTCCTCTCTGTTTTATACTTTCAAGTTTTGTATCTATTAACCAACACGCTCGTTTTCAACTGTAAAAAAAAGCTAAAGATGGTGACTTTACCCGAGGATTGGGCAACATCATCATGTTTAACATTTACCTACGCAGCTAACTTGCCCCGTCGTATTTTGTTCGAGAGAGCTCTCGTTCTCGACGCCTTCACCAAGGCTAATATCTAATCCACAATGACGATCCAAATCGAAAGTCCCAGTTTTGCTGGATATTCCAACAGGCTAGCTTTCCCTGCTGGAAATGGACGATGTGAAATAAGGCCAAAATTCACATTGAACCAATGTGCAACTGTAGGTCCAGACACATTGAGCAATATGCATTTATGAAACAAAAACCTATGTGCACCAATTGGTAATCCTTTAGGGAATTCACATTGGGCTGAATTGGTAATCCTTTAGGGAATTCACATTGGGCTGATTGCATTTATGAAACAAAAACCAATGAGCAGCAGTTGGCAACAGGTACCCCAGTGCACATTGCATTGAGGGTATTTATGGGGCAAAAACCAATGAGCAGCAATTGGCAACAGGTGCTCCTGTGCACATTGGGTTGATGGTATTTATGGGGCAAAAACTAATGAGCGGCTATTGGCAACGGGCCCCCCTGTGCACATTGGATTGATGGTATTTATGGGGCGAAAACCAATAAGCGGCAATTGACGACAGGCACCCCTGTGCACATTGGGTTGATGGCGTTTAGGGGGCGAAAACCAATGAGCGGTAATTGACAACAGGTGCCCCGGTGCACATTGGTTTGATGGTACCCAGTCAACCAGCAACCGTCTATTAAACATCCGAAAGATGTGTTGTTCGGACATTTAACATATCCAGTGGATATCTGCTACGATTCATCCAACATTGAAAGTATCTACTGTGCAGTGCAAAATGGTTTCCCAGAAAACGTACCACTAACACAATCTGGTTGATGCAGCTGGACATTCAGGACCATTGTAGGATGTTCAGCCTGATCCTGTGGATGTACCATGTACATACCTCAGAAATATTACCTTTCCTGGTATAGGGACCAGCCCTATGCCAGGAGGGCAAGGAAGTGCCTAAGCAGCCTTCATTTTATGCTAGCATATAGCGTGTAAACTGTCCTACAGAAAAATTTAAACGGATAAGAGTCGAATTCTTTACAAAACAAGAGCTCAGAGGGCAGATTTGCTGTATGGCCCGTGCATGCTCTCAATGTATACCCAAATGGCGCATTACAGATGTATAATGTAGCAATCAGGCCCGCAGCAGACATTCTTTATATTGAAGTTTTTTTTTCACCATCAAGCTCAGAAGCTTTACCACAGGATCAGTACAGACGACACTGACAAGGAAGGCGACACTACTGATGCTGACTCGTTTTAGTGAGGTGGACCTCGCCACATGCGAGAGAACTGAAATACGGGACACAAACATTGTCATAAGCTATGACGAACGGCCCTGAGGAATTGACTACTGAAGTCTAAGGCTTCAGTAGTCATAAGCTCTAGTGACGAGGACACCAGAATTTTATGAGAGCTGTAGCACCGACTGCATGGCAAAAGATGCCGCTGCAGTCTTGCAGCGTAACTCTGAACGTGAGTAGCGCACTAAATTCCTGCCCAGCCTGTCAGGCATGCAGATCCGTTCTGTAGAAAAAGTTGCAGTGCCAAACAAATCACCATTAACTCTTTATTGTTACTGTTAAGACAGACGAGCAGTGCTTGATGCTTTTAAAATAAAGTATAATTTTTGAACAATGCTGCATAGACAGCATGAGGTTTTCAAAATAAAGTATACTTACTGAACAATGCAGGATACTTTGCTTAAAAAAAATGTCTGATAAACATAATAAAAGGCTCAGCACATTCAAGGCCCACTTAAGGCAGTTCACATCTCTATCTCCTGTGGTGCAGAATGTTCCTGAAAAGCAACGAAAAAATGTTACGTTAAAGATATGTGAGCAGTGGTTTACCATTCTATGAAACAAAACTAATAAAACAGTGAAGTTCAAAGTGAAGTGACTCAAATATGCAAGAATTGGAACTGATGTAAATAAATCACAAGTATTTTATGCCTTGTTTTTAAAGCACATTCATGCTGGATGTGTGTACTGTATTGCCAACTTTTGTTTGTTAGATTTACATCAAATATCAGTGTTCTTAAAATTCGTTGTCTATGCATTCTCTTTAATCCATAATAAGGTACTATTACATAATGAAATTTTTCCTCTTAGAGAAACACTCCAAACAAAATTTTTTTATTTAAAATTATTCAATACTGTTCACACCTGTAGTATTTGCTCTCAAATTAAACCAAAAAAGGTGTATTTAAAGCATTCAAATACTCTCATATAGAAATTATGCTTTGAAGAAATTGCACACCATACTTACTGTTCTAGAAAAGTTTGATTTTTGTGCTAACATCAGCTTAATAAGACCAGCTTACCATTTGAGATGACTGATGTCAGGCAGGTGCGTGGCGAAGTTAATCCGTGACCATGGTTTCTACCTTGAAGTCTTCACATTTATGGCAGCTCTGCACTGCATCTGATAAAAGAAAGCAACAGAAGTATGACACCAACAATTCCATAAATCTGGTTCCATGTGAAGCGATCTGCACTACTGTTCCAGAGATTACCTACTTATGATGCACTCAGCAAGGTGAAGGTTCCTGAATGTCAACTTTCTCTTGCGTCCTTCCCACAAAAATTTTCGCCCCAACTGGTCAGTCAGCAACCGCTTCGTGATCTGTCTCGTACAGGAAGCATAACCAGATCCACAGACTTTGCTGAGCTGTCGAACATAAAAAAACATCCACATAGCAACTGTTTAGTGCAATCATAACTATTGATTGTATGTTTCTGTTTATTTTTAGTCAACCTTGGCAGGTGTTTATCGGCATCAATTTCTTCATTAAATGTGCTGCAAAAATATTCCAAAAGCCGGGAATCATAATGATAAAAAAACTGCACCGACTTACTCAAGAAGATTAACAATTTAATCAAACGTTTCGTCTCCCATGTGGGAAACATCGTCGGTGAAACCTTGAAGCAGGAATGAGCGAAAGAAACTTCAACAGTCCTATTTAAGCAAGTCCGCATACACATTGAGGAGGGGGCCGCAGCTGGAGTTACAAGCTGATGAGTCATTTCGGATGAACCATGATTCTACGAACCTGCTTGGACCCCACCTTTGTTCAAGCGCCAGAGTGGACGCATTCTCAAAAGTCGAAACTGTGTCCCGTATTCCAACAATGGTCTACGAGTTCCGTCTTCGCTCTTGTCGCATGCGTGGCCTTTGCCATGTCCCTTTTGTGACTTTCATTTAGCTTTAAACGGCATTGAATCATCAATCCAATTCACACATGAAGTTGAACAGAACGGTGCAAAGCCTTTTCTGTATGTTAATGTGTTCCGAAATAGTACCGGTCGCTTATATACAACAGTGTACCGCAAAGCTGTGATACAGGCAACCTCTTAAGCTTTAACTCGCATCATTCTGTCGAACATAAAAGGGCTGTCGTAAAAAACCTACTACACCGGTCCGAACGCATTTCTTCTAATCCTCAATTGCACGCTTCTGAGAAAAAAGTCAAATTTGGGGGATTTACGTGCTAAACCAACGACGGGCATCTGGCACGCCCCAGCGGAGGACTGAGGATTAATTTGGACTACCTGGGGATCTTTTGACGTGCAACTGAAAGCTCGGTTACACGGCGCCTGCTCCGCAATAAGCCTCTGCCACATGGGGATCCGTAGGCCAGCGCTCTCGCCTCGGAGCCACCGAGGCGGCTTGCGCGCTTCTGAGGATGCTGTTATTGTTGACCTGCTGATGAAGCGGAATTATCCGAAACGTTTTATTGATAACACGCACAAACAGATGGGACAAAGAAGTCAGGATAATGGACAACTTAGGACAGGGCAGGCAACAATACCCTATTTGAGAGGTGCTTTTGAGTCCATTCGCAGGGCCCTCGCCCCTTTGAATATCCCTCAGCTTTCAAACCCCACCATAAACTATGTGACTTCATTTCTAAACCTAAAGATTACACCCCCCCAGAGTCCCAGTGCGGTGTTGTGTATAAAGTGAACTGTCTAGACTGTGACACATCCTACATTGGGGAGACAGGCTGGAAGCGCTGCACTCGCCTAAACAAACACAGCGAAGACGGAACTCGTAGACCATTGTTGGAATACGGGTCACAGTTTCGACTTTGAGAATGCGTCCACTCTGGCGTGTGAACAAAGGTGGGGTCCACGAAGGTTGGTGGAATCATGGTTATTCTGAAGTGACTCATCAGCTTGCAACTCCAACCGCGGCCCCCTCCCCCAATGTTTATGCGGACTTGCTTAAATAAGATTGTTGAAGTTTTTTCGCTCATTCCTGCTTGAAGGTTTCACTGATGATGTTCCCCGCATGGGAGACGAAACGCTTGATTAAACTGTTAATCTTGTTGAGTAAAGTCGGCGCAGTTTTTTTTATCATTAAATTTGCTACTAATATTTATACCTGCTCTTACTGAGGCACTTCCGACAATTAAACTGAGGAATTTTGACGTCTTTATCTCAATATGGCGATTGGATTAAAGATTATACCACTGGGCACGGGCTTGGGCTTACCCGAAAGCCCAGGCCTGGGATAGGCTCGGACTTTTGACTGTGGGCCCGGGCCGGGCTCGGGCCAGCACGTTGATTGGCCTGGTTCGGGCCAGCATGTTGATTGGCCTGGTTTGGGCCAGCTGTAATTGACCATGATGCTGACAGAGGCCATCGTAGAAATCGGCGTCTCGGTTATCTCAGCAACATCAACTCCAGAACCACTAGACAAGTACCCATGAACGTAGGCCCACCTTAAGACAGTGGACGGCAGCGTCGTTAATCATGAGGTGAGCTTCGGGTTAATCCCAGTGGCGTGATGTTTTTGCTTGTGGTGATAAATAGCGGCAAACCAAAAATAAACCGACATTGAAGCGCTCTGTCAGGAATTAAAAATGGGGGACTCAAAAGCATTAACGCTAAACAATCTCAACCCAATTGATCATGAGAAACACTTATCTCTCTCAAATAATAGCTGGGAAGCGTTAACATAACGGCAATGATGTAGTGGGGAAGCTTACAGGCCTAGTAAACAATTATACACATACTGGGGAATGCCTGGCACATATTCAGGTATGAATACATGCTCAGATCTACAAAATATTTTAGGAGAAGATACCAACTGCAAATTAGTAGTCTTTCTTAGAAAACACATTGACGTATCTTAATCACAGTGCTAAAACCCATAAAAACACTTGATTACAATTATTTTAATAAAAAAAAGTTCTGAATATGTACATGACACCAGCAGTCATAACTTTGATTTAGTTCATCGCAAGCTATATTTCTCTGGCAGCAAACGAAGACAATTCTTTCAACTGTGCAGTGAACCAGAATTAATACAATACGACAAAGTTTCCATATACCACTTTAAAATAACCACAAACAACGCTTTTCAGATCAGTATGTTTTGCTATAAAAGGCTTATTATAAAGCCATAGTCCTTACAGTATATTATAAAGCTTTTAGTCTTGCTGCATCCAGTTGTGGCTTTGCTTAGCCTTTGTGCGGTTTGAAGGTCTGCCGGTTACAATTCGCCAAGGAGGCCATCTGTGGCGGAGATAATTACCAAACCTTACCGGATGAACATTGATTCCCTCTTCCATTTGAGAACTTTCGTGTGTGAAGTCTTGTTGAGCCACATGCCATTGCCAATGCACACATAGAAGACATAAACTTCAGTTCATCTTTGAAGCAGCACTATGTACAGGAAATTTGCCAGCGCAATATTCGTGACTCCAGCGAAATCGACGCCGCGTAGCGGCAGCGCCGAGAAGCTCAGGAGAGGAGGTTGTCCCGACTCTGTCGTCTGCTATCGCTGCTTGGTTCTCGTAGGCAGCATAGAAACAAACATTGTTTCCAGTAATTATTTTAATGATTCCACCCGGTCCTTCCTACGCACTGAGTAGACGAACGTTTCTAGGGTCGAAAAATCGCTTTGCATTCAAATGTAACACCGATTTTATGCTGCAGTGCAGGAATTTGTGATGGTCCGCATACTGAACAATGAAAACGACCTTCTTTCGTCCCAATTTTGCCTGAGCAGCGCGCCATCTATAGTTCGCTGGAGTCGCGAATAACCTGGACTGGGATTGAAAACAGGGGTCCTATTTGTCAACGGCATGCCTCAAAATTAATTTTGTTGATGAAAAAAAAATTGTAGCAATATTTACGCGGCAAAACGCAATTTGAGTTTGGCACAAAACCGAACCGGTGTAACTAGCAGGTATCCTTCTTACCTCATTACTGTCGGAGTTAACAATTTGAATGATTCGACGTGATCCCTCACCCTCCTCCTCTTCTTCATCTCCTCTCTCTACCCCAACGAACAAACAAACAAACATGCACGCACGCATGCACACAGATACCTCTTCTCCAAATAGACACAGACTGCGCCACGCCTTGACAGATATAATTCATTCTAACCTTAAGCCTATCAGCACAGAAAAAATGTTAAAACACATTAACGAGAAAAGAGTCAAAGTACAGGCTAGCTGGTGGAAGTCAACCATTTCGTCGTTTACCCTGAGACTGGGGGGTTTTTGAAGAGCAGAAGTAACAGAAAAAACAGACAGGTCTTGAGACCTGTATGTTTTTTCTGTTACTTCTGCTCTTCAAAAACCCCCCAGTCTCAGAGTAAACGATGAAATGGTTTAAACACATAACCTTTACCTAGTTTCTGGGCATATGAAAACAAACACACGGCACCCCTATCAATGAAATTCCTTGTATTTGTGACGGCATAACTAAAGAAAATCTCAAATTTAAAATACGTCTTAAGAAATTGCTTCGCAAGCGCGAAAATGAAATTACAATCACCTGTCTCACACAAGCTTCGTCCAGCCCTCCCGGGCAGTCACACATCTCGTCGGAGGTACTAGCACCCGCTTACTGTCACTGGGTTTCCGCGTCACTCTGCGATCCTGAAACAACCGGCGCCGAGAGTTACTCCCACATATTGTGCTTAAAGAAGGAGATGGTCACTAGACTGGGCACAACGCGTGTGGAGACTAGAACTTACCAAACAACTTTAGGATCCGCGCCTTGAAGAAGTCCGATTCCGTTTCGTCACAAGGCTTGACGGGCAGAAATTTGAGATGATATGTGGCTCATGGTCGTCCTCAAGACGTACGCTTGCATAATCGTTCGTAAAATTCCGGCCGCTCAACTGGTCTCGACTCTGCAACGTGCTTCAAGCGGTTAGACTTCCCGCGAACGTTGCTTCGACAGCGTCGGTTCTTCTTCCACGCTTCCTTGTCCTCCGGCCGGACCGTTCGGTTTATCACGTCGGGCCACTTCCTGACGCAGGGGATGTATCACGTGACTATAATACTTCGTATTTTAACTCTTGTTTTTGTTTGCTGAAGTAAACAAATACTTATAAAATTTACTTATTGACCTTAATTTAGCAAAAAATTTGCATAAATTGCACTTTGAAAACTTATTTTGGTTTTATATGTCATGCGGGCTATGCATGCGGGTGACCCCACTGTTCACTCTATTGACTCCAGCTCACTTTATATTGTCACGTGGTGTAACCCGCAAGCCCGCAAGTGTGACTGATGCACTTAAGAAAATAATAAACGTTTCTAAAAATTATAGTATTACTTAACTGTCAAATGCAAATACTGAATATATATTAAACTTATAACGGAGTAATTTTTATTTGTCATTTTAATTAGAAAATTGCATTTGCTGCGGGACGACGTCGGTGCGAATTTTAAAATTTGGATTTGAGACACGTAGGGTGTCGCGCTGTGCGACCATGAACCCAAACAAAAAATATACTTGGAGCCGCTAAGTATACCCAGCTTGCCAAGGACAACAGTCCTGAGACGAAGTTGTGTCCTGAAAAATGCTACAACAGGCCAGGGACCAGAACCGACGTCGCCGACAGCAGTTTCTGTAAGCCATGTTGAATATACCTGAGACTGGGGTAGAAAAACATAAAAGTCGAAGAAACAGAACGGGACAGGACGACGTCTCAAACTCAGCTACCAGGTTTATTCAGTCCTCCTCCTTATATAGTCCACAAACAGCCCACCACCAACACAAAGGGGCAACTCTAACCAGTTCAACCGCCCTGGTAGCTGAGTTTGAGACCTGGTAGCTGAGTTTGAGACGTCGTCCTGTCCCGTTCTGTTTCTTCGACTTTTATGTTTTTCTACCCCAGTCTCAGGTATATTCAACATGGTTAACATCCACCAGCTCGCCTGCACCCTTACTATTGTATCTCTGTAAGCTCGGTTGTCTCGGAACACGGTGAGACAAAAACTCCCCGTGAACTAAGTAGTACCAATGAAACCAGAAGCGGTCACAGTACTGGGCCAGTTAGTGAAGACACAAGTGATAAAATTGTGAAAGTGACGGGAGATTTGAAGACCGATTTCCTGTCCAAGTTTCCGAAAAGGCTACTGCCAAAGACGAATGTAACGAGTCTGACGTACCCTGTTTCGGCTAGCCTTCATTTTAATTGGACGCAAAATGAAGGGCTTCTGAATCTCGAAAACTTCATTGCTGGAGTGTACACTCTTCCCGGCATCAAGGAAAACTACAACATTGGGAAGCCAGAAGCCAAACTAAAGGCCCAAACTGCCAACAAGCGCGTAAAATGCCTTTCAAAAAGGAACTTCCTTGCTCAACTACAAAGTGGAAAGCGCTTCCTGACACTTACTGTGCGTGAAACAAGGGGCAATCATCATTTCGGGAAGGTCATCCTTATTTCGTGTGTGTGTGTGTGTGCGCGCATTTTATGTGCTTTTTTTAATGACTTCTATGGTGTTAATAATTATTGGATGTTATTCGGCACTACCGGCTTTTCTTTTCTGTTAATAAAAAGATAGAATGTGCACGTGATCTGCCGCCCCAGAACGAGCGCGTAGCCTCTGCTAGGGCTCAAACAGGATACGTTCACATGGCAAAATGGAAGCCTGAAGTATCGCACTTTTTCGCCAACTCCGCCAAAGTTTTAAAGTCCCGACGTCGGAAGTCTGAGAGCTTTGGACCAATCGTGAAAGATGATAATAGGATTTTTGAGTCAGTGTTATTCTGTTTTTGACCCGGTTTTACTCTGATTTGCTCGGTTCTGGAGCGAAATTTATACAAAAACGAGAACGTTCCACTCCGAAACCAGGTAAAACTGAATAAAACAGAGCAAAGTCTAATGTGAATACATAATCCAGTTGGTGCAATCGTTTACGCTATTACTGTTACTGAAACATCCTGGAAAACAAAAGGACAGAATGCACCGCTAAAACTGCAGAGTTCCGATGATACCTGAATTTCGTGGCTTGCCTATATATAATTATTCATGAATCTTGTGCATACTATGTGCACACACAATGTTCCCGTTTTCCATAGTCTTTTCTTTATGTTTTACTGGCAGCCGCATGTTTTATAATACGAAGGAGGACAGTACGTAATCAGGAAATTCTAAAACACGTGACAAAAAAGAGTTTATATTCACTTTATTAACTGAATGTTTTATTTAATTAGTGTCTACATGGCCCAACCCAAGTTATATAGCTAAAAAAAAATGTTTATTTGACAGAGAGGAACCCATCGGGCACGCACGTATCTGCACGGGGGGGGGGGGGGGGGGGGGGAACATGGGCCCCCCCCCCCTCCTCCCAAACCTTTCATTTGGTGGGGCCTCCTTTCCCCCCTCCCCCTCATACAGTATTTTGTCATGGGCGAATCAAAATCCTGGCTGCGTGCCTGTCATCGGGTATATTTGCGGCAAAAATTATTTTCCTGTGCTCAAAACATAAAAGTTTAGTATATAACAACTCTAATTTCTCCACTAAGCATACTGTTTAACCTGATAGATGCCCACTTAATAGATTTTATGTTCTGTATTCCCAGTCGACCATTAAAAGTTCTCGATCCGAAATGCATTCCATTTCACCAATGAAGCTTTCAGTTTAACCAGTACAACTTGTTATTGATCCTATTGAAAGACCAATAGGCACTTGTATTCCGGACCAGAAAACATTCGTGTTGTTCCCATAGAAGTTTCTACTTGTCCCATAGAAGTTCCTGCTTGTCCCACAGAAGTTCCTAATGGTACAAGAGAAGTCTGTATTGGTACGATATAACTTGTTATCGGCCCAGTAGAAATGCCCATCGGTACGATGAAATCCTACTGATCGCATAAAAATCTCTATCGGTCCCATAGAAAATTTTTGCAAGGGTGTGCTAATTTGGCGATTGAGCATTGTCACTGCCATACTGCACCGAGTTCACTTCTCTGCAGTGCATGGCTCTTGGCTATCTCCCGTACAATGTCTCTGCCACGTAGCGCTACTGGCTGCAATGAACGGCAATGAGCAAACTGAGTGTCGTGCACATTGAAACAATTGGCATCATGGCGCTTGCCCCCTAAAGTTGACTTTCCCTCAACCTATTCTTGTGCCTTCCCCCGTGCTGCGGCTTCTCTGCAGCATTTCCAATTGCACCAATGTGCAAAACATCGGATTTTCTCATTGGCGCCAATCGCACATTCATGCTCATAGGTTTTGGCTATGCATTTCAATTGGAAAAGGCCTGCCATTTCCAGCAGGGTTAAGCCGTACCCTTTCAGTGGTTCACGCATAATACCATGCTCAAACGGATCAAGCTTCTGCTCGGACAGCATCATCAGTTTTCTTCAGTGTAAACGGTTATAAGGATTGAAAGATCGCAACCAGCTGCTTTGTGGACAGCTGGTTGCGGAAATTTACGCCGTCTGTAACTATCTCTACGGAAGTCGAGCTGCTTGAAGACATCGCAACTATAAACTACAGGTTGCAGTTGCCAACGTTTGTAGATAAACGTTGGCAGCGACTGCATTCTCGCATTCCCACGCATCGCTCGGAACAGAAAGGCGCTAGTTTCGGTTTGAAGTCGGTACCTTTTCTTCCACATAGATGGCGGCGCATCAGCCTTCTGCACTCGGTGCATTTGGCGAGTTCGTTTGAGTCCAGTTTTCCGTGCAACACTCTGTGAGTGCGATGCATTCTGGGAGAGAACTCGAACGGTGCCAGTGCGTGTGAAACGAACTCGCTATTAGTCGTTCCGTGCAGCCTCATTTGTCTTGCACTGCGGGTGCAGCCAATGTGCAGCCAGTTATGGGCACGCTGCTTTACTTTTAAAATGTTACACTACGAGTTACATTTACGGTTACTCAGGAGAAAAGAATAACCCTGTCACAGTTACAAAATTGAAAGTGTAACTTGTTACAGTTACTTCGCAAAAGTAACGCCGTTATTTCATTGTTACTTTACAAAAAGATATAAGAAAACATTCAAAATCAACCTTCTTTAATATGCCTTTAAATTAGCATTGATTTTTCATTAGACGTTTTGTTGTTCACGGTAGTGAATCTGATGTTTTTAGAAACTACTATTTTCTCACTGATCAATATATTAACATGTTTGGTTCTTCCCATTTCAATTTTTACCATGAATAGCTCTCTGAACAGGATCATAATTTTAAACAGTACTCGAGTAAATCCACTATATGATAAAGCATTTATAGTATATTTGGCAAAATTACAGGCGACTTTAGTGAAGTCAATAATAATATAAGTTGTACATCGCAATCAGCTTTGTAGACGTCTTCTTTATGCCACACCAATCCACTCGTTGTTCAAATTGTTTTGAACTGTGTATGTACAACCTCCCATGAAACGCGAAGCTTCTCTTAAAATGGCTCGAGGTACACCTAACACTTTTTATGAGTTGTGAATGCGAAAGTATGCATGTCATTCTTCCGCTCCCTTATTTCATCTGTGGCGTATTTGCATCGACGGCAGAGTGCACGCACTCCTCGCCGCTCTGACCTTGGATGCTTCGTGTTACTCGCACGCTGACGGCACAGACACGTAGCGCCATGGAATGGCGGTCGTGTTAACAGAACCTCGGTTCGGCACATCACGAACCGAGGCTCTGTTAACATATTTAATATCCTGTGCTGTTTATACACCTGCTAATTGTATTGCAGCAACTAAGCTCAAATAATTTTAACTCCAAGTAAAACTGTAAAACCCTACATTTTTGCGGCCCCTATTTTTCACGATTCGTTCACAGAGGACATAATCGCGGCTACTAAATTTCGCGAATTGCAGACGCCCGCATTGAAGCTCTTAAAGGGGCCCTGCAAGGACTTTTTTACTGGTTTTAATTTGCACCGAACCTGGGCGCACTGCACGTAGTAACTGAATTAAACTTTTCTTTTCTCGAATTTTGCTTTATTTTAAAAATTATAGGCAAATTAAAATG